AGAAAGAATTCAGAAAACAAGTGATGCTAGGGAAGTATGGTAGTGGATACACTACACCCTGTTGTAAATGTTTGCTGCCAGACAAAAGATACAGTGTGTGTTAAAAAGGTGGATTTTGTTGCGTTCATTGCCACAGTTATAAACTGTACAGCACAAGTCGAAGAAACTGGACATTATTGTGGCTGCGGCAGAAAAGTTTTTGGGACTCAAGGATTTTACATCTGAAGACTTACAAGGGGTACTGGCTTCTGAAGACCTGCCCTCCCAGGTTCCCCTTGAGCCTGTGTAGTGATCAGATCTGTCTTATTTATTTTTAACAGAAAAATTGTTTGATTTATTTTTTGGTCGTTTTTGGGGGGAATTCTGTTTCCATCCCGCATAGTAGGTTGTGGGATGTACATTAAATTGTGTGATCGCCAATATACCATAGAATAATTAGACCCCTGCTAAGTAACTCTTGCAAAGATTTAAAGCGCAATTATGCGTTTCATCTCCAGTACATTGCCACAATTGTCAGTTATGTAGCAGCTCTACTGATAATCTCAGTGCATCCTTCCTGGGATGGCAATCAATCTACTGTCGGGGAATGCCAACACCCCAGACAAACACATTAGTTCACTGTTCTATGGAAGCGGACAGTACACAGTATACCACAATGTTATGAATAATGGCCAAATCTACCTCGCTCCCTATTCGACTGAATCGCTTAGGAGTAACAAACACAAGTCCAACATCTATCGGAAACTGCTAAACTACATGTTCACTACCCTCCTGCTCTCCGCGGATGTGCACCTCAAACCTGAGCCTAACACCGCCGAGCCAGCGATACTCACCGGAGTGGAAAGCAGTGGATGGCCGCGTCCTCAAATCATGGCCGCCGCGGAAGTGGGTGAGTGCTATGGTCCCATCATTTCTCTCGAGTTACCCGGCTCCAAGACAACATTTGACTCTCCAAACATATAGAAGTCGCTATACACGATCCCCGACTCTGCTTCTGGCACGCAAGCTGTTTTAATTAGTTCCCCGCATCCAGTGCAAGCGCAAGGGATAGTTAATTGTACTACAGAACTGCCCCTAATCAAAACGGCCTAAACCCCGCCATCAGAAAACACCGAAAATATAACTTTTTTTTTCAATGTGTCAATCACGCTCGAGTCATATGGGACCTACGAGCTAAGCCCAGGGACTACTAGTGGGGCACTTGAACATTCGCAATGTCATTCCAAAAAGTGATCAAATTCAACATCTTCTCACAGATTCCAACCTGACTTCCTCTGCCTTTCAGAGACATGGCTCCATAAAAACTCTGTCTGCTGCTTTGATTGTGCCTGGCTACAATGTTGTCAGGAGAAACAGGGTTGAAGGATGTAAACCAATTGAATGGTCATGTGATAATGAACTAGAATGTATTGGCCTAAACTTCACACTGTCTCCCCAAATGTATTTGACCCTTATTGGAATGTACAGGACCACCTTCCACCAAAAGTGTGTTTTTTGATCAGTTTAATAACATGCTTAGGGAATGTGATTTTGGGAAAGAGGTCATCTTAATGGGAGATTTTAACATTAATCATGAAGACAAGTATTGAAGGAAAACCCTCAAATGGATCACAAATACCTTTGACCTTACTCAACTAGTTCAAGGGCCAAACAGGGTGACTTGTTGTTCTAAAACACAGATTGATCTGGTGTTCAGTAATAAACCAGAGAGTGACTAAATCATTCAATATGGTTACTGGGCTGTCTGATCATAATCTGACACTCATAGCCAGAAAGCCTTCCAAGAACAGGTTTAACCTCTCTACTGTTAGAAAGCCTGATCAGCTCAGAATACCTAAGAGTGAATTAAATGATTTTGGAAACAGAATTAAGGTAATTAACTGGAATGATCTCTTGTCCTATACAAATGTGGAAGCTGATAGTCAGGTTTTTCTATCCACAATCCAGACTACAATAAATGGCTTCATAAAGACAATCATATCCAAACCTGGCCAAAAGAGCACTCTTCCTTGGCTAAATGGAGAAATCTGGAAACTGATCAAAGAACGAGATCATGCTCTAAAAACAGCCTTAAAGTCCAAATTAGAGCATGACAGACGTAGGTTCACCATGTTGACAAATAAGGTGATGAAAGAAATCAGGCAAGCCAAGGAAAACTCTTTATCAACATAATTGGTGAAGCTAAGGAAAATTCTAAATCTAGGAGAATCTAAAACATTTAACAGGGAAAGACCAGAGTAACACTGCAAAAAGACTAGAAATACATGTGAATGACAGTAACACAGGATGCAGTCGATAATAGCAACAGCCTTCAATTCCTATTTTGTTGACTCTGTCAAGGTACTGACGCAGTACCCCTCCACTGGTTTCTTGGGCTCAGCGCCAGTGAATGACCCTCAACCTGTCTTCATCATAAGGGAGGTTTCTGAGTCAGAGGTGAACAAGGTGATTAGCTCACTTAGGAACTCTAAAGCCGAAGATGTTTGGGCTGGACTCTACCTTTCTTAAAAACTACAAAGAGTCACTCACTGGCCCCATTACTAAGGTCACCAACCCATCTATTGGTCAGGGTGTGTTTCCAAGGGTCTGGAAGTTGGCCATAATACCGGCCACCTTTAAATCAGGTGACCCTGCTGATGTAACTACAGGCCATTTAGTATACTACCTGTGGTGTCGAAGGTTGCTGAAAATTGTGTAGCACAGCAACTGATTGCCCACCTCAACAACAGCCCCTTCACATTACACTCCATACAGTTTGGCTTCAGAGCAAAACACTCCACAGAAACGGCCAACTGCTTTCTTCTGGAGAATATGAAGTCCAAGATGGACAAAGGGGGCATTGTTAGGGCTGTGTTTCTAGACCTAAGGAACGCTTTTGATACCGTTAACCATGAGGTTCTCATCACAAAACTGTCTAAGTTCAACTTTTCCCCTGATGCCTTGAGATGGATGAAATCATACCTTGAAGGCAGAACCCAGTGTGTCAGTGAGCAATGAGCTGTCTCCCACTCTCAGCTATGATGTGTGCGTGCCCCAAGGGTCAATACTGGGGCCCCTCCTGTTCAACCTGTACATTAATGATCTGCATTCTGTCTGTACTGGGTCTGAAGTTCAAATGTATGCAGATGATACAGTGATATATGTGCATGCAAAGAGCAAACAACAAGCTGCACAAGAACTCACTACTGTAATGGTCAAGGTTACAAAGTGGCTCAGTGACTCACTACTGTAATGGTCCAGGTTACAAAGTGGCTCAGTGACTCACTACTGTAATGGTCCAGGTTACAAAGTGGCTCAGTGACTCACTACTGTAATGGTCCAGGTTACAAAGTGGCTCAGTGACTCACTACTGTAATGGTCCAGGTTACAAAGTGGCCCAGTGACTCACTACTGTAATGGTCCAGGTTACAAAGTGGCTCAGTGACTCACTACTGTAATGGTCCAGGTTACAAAGTGGCTCAGTGACTCACTACTGTAATGGTCCAGGTTACAAAGTGGCTCAGTGACTCACTACTGTAATGGTCCAGGTTACAAAGTGGCTCAGTGACTCACTACTGTAATGGTCCAGGTTACAAAGTGGCTCAGTGACTCACTACTGTAATGGTCCAGGTTACAAAGTTGCTCATGTTTGCATCTCAATGTGAAAAAAAAGTCTGCATGTTCTTCACAAAGAGGGAAACTGATGTCGATGTATCAGGGGAGAAGCTCCAGGTAGTATACGATTGTAAGTACCTTGGCATCATACTTGATTCCAAGGTAACTCAAATAACCAAATTCAACCTAGCTAATGTCCGATTCATACAAAATTGTTTGACTACAGAGGTAGCAAAACTGTACTTCAATGCTATGATCCTCCCCCACTTAACATACTGCTTGACTAGTTGGGCCCAAGCTTGCTGTACAACATTAAAACCCATTCAGTCTGTCTACAAACAGGCTCTCAAAGTGCTTGATAGAAAGCCCAATAGCCATCATCACTGTTACATCCTGAGAAAGCATGAGCTCCCGAGTTGGGAAAGTCTTGTGCAATACACGGACGCATGTCTCGTATTCAAGATCCTAAATGGCCTGCGTGTTGCTTGTCTATGTTTCTCTGTCTGTCTGCCTGCTACGTGTTGCTTGTCCAATGTTGCACTGTCTGTCTGCTACGTGTTGCTTGTCCTATGTTGCTCTACATGTGCTCACTGCTCATTGTTTGTCTCTATTGTTATTGGAATAGTTTTTTAATAACCTGCCCAGGGGCTGAGGTTGAAAATTAGCCAGCTGGCTAAAACTGGCACTTTTACTGAAAAGTTTATTAATGTGCACCTGTAAAAAATAAACTCAACTATCCAGGCAATGCGTCTGGCATGAGATCTGGCATGCGTCAGCAACCCCTGGGCAGAGGAACGCCCCCATTGTGGTTAGCTGATACCATGCGTCAGCAACGCCTGGAAAGAGGAATGTGCCCAAAACCATTACTTGGAGGTGGGAAATCTGTTAGAGTTAGAGGATAGGGACAATGTGTGGGAGATGATGGTTATTGGCATAACAGCTCATTAGTGATGCAGCTGTGCACATGATTAAGAGGCTGGACATGAGCTTGTCTGGAAGCTGGATGTGTGTGGGTGGTCTGGATGTGTGTGGGTGGTCTGGATGTGTGTGGGTGGTCTGGATGTGTGTGGGTGGTCTGGATGTGTGGGTGGTCTGGATGTGTGTGGGTGGTCTGGATGTGTGTGGGTGGTCTGGATGTGTGTGGGTGGTCTGGATGTGTGTGGGTGGTCTGGATGTGTGTGGGTGGTCTGGATGTGTGGGTGGTCTGGATCTGCCTTCCCCAGAGGACTTATCACCTCGATCCAGCACAGGCAGCTACTGGGAGAGTAGGCTGATATCCATCTCTCCCTCCCCACAGGCTGAAACCTCCCTACTACTTCCCCAGTCTCTGCTGCTTTTTCTAACATTCCACAACACTCCCACTGGCCACACGCTGGTTGAATCAACGTAATTTCAATGAAATTACGTTGAACCAACGTGGAATAGACATCTGTGCCCAGTGAATCTAATGTATGGTTACTTTTTCACACAAACAAAACAAATCTGCTGCCCTATGGCATTAACTACACAGCAACCAATAATACAGGTGAAAGATTAAACAATACCATGCATGGTTGCCATTGGTAAAATTGTCAAATTGATTTTCCATCTCAAAACAAATCATATGACAAGACAGACACTTGAGTTTCAGCTTTAAGGTTGAAATCGAGTCCACTACGAGAGAGCCAATGAGAAACCTGGATGTAAACCCTTTCAGTTGAACACTTCTCCAAGGCTTGGTCCCTAACGGAGTATCCATTCCAGATGATTCACATCAAGACCAAGATAATTTAGTTCATTACACAAATGTAGTATAAAATACATTAAAGCGATGTTGCAAATGTATTGGTGTTTTTGAAGGGAAATAATTAAATATATCAATCACTTTTTTTTTTAATTAATCGCCAAGTATTCAAGAACCGAGTACTTCCATGCCAACAGTCCAATTCCTCAATGTGTCACTTTCCACCAATCAAACAGGGAGGTGTGGGGCAGTTTAGCAGACTGTCCTTTTTATACGCTGAACAGAGGGTGACGTAGACAGACATCTCTCTACGTGTCCTCTTCATCACTTCCTGTCAGGCTGCTGTCAGTGGAACCTACTGCTGAGTCCTCAGAGGTCTCTGGTTCCACCCCTGGGTCTTCTGCTACCTTCACCCCTGCTTCCTGGCTCTGAGAGTTGGAGGTCTCCGTCACAGGTCCCTCTGCCTTGATGAACGATGACTCTGTGGTTGGTTTATCTGGTCCCTCTGTACTTCCAGGCGGTGCCCCCAGCGGTGCAGGCCCCTTGCTCCCTCCCTCCAGGTAGGCTGCCCAGCCCTTCAGCCTCTCTTCTCGTTCCCTAGTGGTTTCCTCCACCTATAGACAGAAAGACGTCAACACAGTTATATTCACTATGGTACATTAACAGAGGTGGTTGCTATGCTCCAGAAACAGTTTAAGATGTGTTAAGCCTCTCTAATCTTTAATGTGATAGTGTAGTCTTTCATTTGACTCCTGGTCAGGCTCCTGTCACTGCCTCGTTCAAGTTTTATTTGTCACATGTACAGTGAAATGCTTAACTTGCAAGCCCTACCCAACGGTTCCGTATATTCAATATTAAAAATAGTTTAACAAATGTTTTTTTTAAACATTAATGAGCCCGGTCTGTGCTGACATTTGGGTCCTTTCTGCTTCTAATGTGGCAACAGCATGGTTCTTACCTGGTAGTCAGTGGATCCATCCCACAGCTGTGCTGATAACTTCTTGCCCCCAAACCAGCGGCCGTCCAATGCTATCTGACACACGTCTGCATCCTCTGACTCTTTGAAGGCCACCGAGGCCACTCCATCAGGATGTCTCTATGGAAGAAATAGGAGCATGTCACTAGCTAGGTTTCCCTCCTTAAGAAATATGCACATTTTCCCACCAGAGGTGTTTCCATCAAACTGGCTTGAATAAACCACCAGTGCAGAGTGATGTCACATTTGGCAAAACACTGTCGCATAAACTTTGCTTTATTGGATATAAAACGTTTTGAAGGGATTCTATTGTATTTTAAATAAACTATTGCATGTTTCTATCAAATGTTTTACGTGGTAACCTACATGAGATTATGGATTAGAGGAATAATTTGTATTTATCTTTGTCAACAGCTAAATAAATATTCACCCTTGTAGATTGTATTTTGTGTTGTCAACAGTTAGGAAAGTTTAACAACAATTAGCTGTTTCCATCACACCTGTTGTGAGTCAGGTATTTCATTGCATAAAAATGGCAGGATGGAAACATGGCTACTGTCAGGACACTGAAGATATACAGGTAACAGCCAAAATAAAGGAAACACTGGAGTAAATTAGGGATCCTGAGTTAATTAAGCAATTAACATCCCATCATGCTTGGGTCATGTATAAAAATGACTGCATTGTTGGGAAAGAGCTTGCAAGAAAGGCATTTCACTGTACTTGTGCACGTGACAATAGAACGTGCATCTTGAAAAATGCCCAGATGCTCATTATTTTGACTACCATGGCTAGAAGAGATGTCAGTGACTTTGAAAGAGGGGTCTCGTGTGAGCATAGGGGGTTTAAAGGGAGTGTGGATGTGTCTCTGTCACCAGATCTCAACCCAATTGAACACTTATGGGAGATTCTGGAGCAGTGCCTGAGACAGCATTTTACACCATCATCAACAAAACACCAAAATAATAGAAATTCTCATGCAAGAAGGATGTCACATCCCTCCAATAGAGTTCCAGACACTTGTAGAATGTATGCCAAGGTGCATTGAAGCTGTTCTGGCTTGTGGTGGCCCAACGCCCTATTAAGACACTTTATGTTGGTGTTTCCTTTATTTTGGCAGTTAACTGTATATAACTCGATGGTTCCCAAATGCTACCTTATGGAGGACATGTTTCGGATTTTGGAGTGTGCTATTTTGTTTATGCCAGTGAGACAGAAATGAGGTTAGCCTATTCACATTAGCAGACACTTACGTCGAAAACAATGACCTTCTTCACCTGACCAAATTTCTCACATTCTGTCCGCAGGTCGTCCTGGTACTCGTTTAACACAAGGGGGTCTTCCTGTGGGACAGAGATACAGTATATGGGTTTACTACAGATAAGAAAAGAAGAGCTTCGGAGTGTTGGGATGTTAAACTAGAACCCAACCATTCCTGATCTCTGACGGAGAGAGGCTTATGCCTAACTCCCTAAAACACATTGCTCTGGGGATATTTGCTGTCCTCCTCATACCAGTCATCTATATATTTACATCAGCTCTTTGTGGTCATGCGTGTTGATGTAGGTATGAGAGAGAGAGAGATAGAGAAGTCTTTGCTCACCTCAAAGTCACTGGGGTGGAACATGTTCTGGATGATGAGCACACGTTCATGCCTCATGCGTGCCTCCCCTTTCTTCTCTGGCCTCCAGTCCAGCTGCCTGTCAGTCAGACCAATGGTGAGAGATGAGCCACACAAAAGGGAAACCTACTGGCCAAAAGCACTGAGATACTCCAATTCGAATTCCAGAATTTAGCAGGAGGGGCCATACTTCTGCTGGGCCTTCATCCTCTTCCGGTAATCCTTGCTCTTCTTCTTCTTCTTACTGGCGTCGTACTGGCCCTTGAGCTCGAACCTGGCAGCTTCCACATGGAGCTGATAACCCCTGATCTCTGACTCGTCAATCAGCCCCTCAGCCAGGGCTACAGACTCCTTCTGCAGGGGAGGGGGAGAGGAGGGGCACACTGAATGGAGACGCTACACACTCTTACCACACATACTTTCATAGACCACAATGGAAATCTGGAATTTACTTTGTGTTATCCCTGTCAAGTTTTTTTTGTATGTACTGTGTGTGTGTGTGTATATTTTATCTGTCAAATAATAAAATCTGCAACAAAAAAAGACAACACAACAGACATCCATGTACCTCTTACACTGACTGAGAACCCTAATCATCCCCACTGCACTCCTCATAAGACTGACACACACACACACACACACACACACAACCAACCATTACACCGCTAAGCCCAGGGGTGGAATCATTACTCCAAACAAGAAAACAAGTGTTTCTATTGGACAGATTCAGCAATCAGGGAGGGACCTACCTGAATCTATCCAATAGAACATTTCGTTTTCGTTCTGTTTGGAGTAATGATTCCACACCAGAGCACTGACCTTTAAGTAACAGCAGAGTCCATCCCCCTTCTGGTTCCCATAGCCGTCCCTGTAGAGCTTGACTTTGTACTCTTCAGAGACAGGGTCCCTCATGACAATGCCACACTTAGACATGAGCTCAACAAACTCTTCCGTGGTGATGTCTGGTGGTAGACCTGAGGAATAGGAAAGAACTTTCCTGACTAAAAGGACAGTTGGAACTTTCCTGAATGATGCATTTCTGCCTTAACAGTTACATTCAATTGTGTTGGCAGCATAGAGCTAGAGGACTCCCCATTGATATAATCAGTTTTAGCATGGACATTGCCATTGAGGGTTTACAACATTTAAAAGTAGTCAACTGGGTGGGGATTCCTATGAGTTGGGAGCAATCAGCCAATGAAGAAGAAATGGACTACTTTAAAATGGAGCTGCCCATGCTGTCACAGACGCTATAATGGCACAGGTACAAAGATGAGTCCTCTATTTATCTCTATGGTTGGTAGCCAAATCAAATCACATTTTATTGGTCACATAAACATATTTAGCAGATGTTATTGCGGGTGTATGGCGAAATGCTTATAATGCCATCAGACCTGGGTTCAAATACACATTTATTTAAACATTGGTATTTTATATACTTATGGTATTTGAATTTCACTTATTTTCTGTGTATTTGAATATTTTCCCCTGGCCAAATCCACTACTTATTTTTGAAGTATTTGAATGTCTTCCAAATACTTCAAATAATGTATATCAAATGGGATTTCAAAGTATTTTCAAATGCTTCAAATAAAATACTATTTGAAAATATTTTCTAATACTTTCTTTCAAATACCCTTAACTCAGATAACATTTATTCCCAATACTTTCCAAATGTATTTCAAAATTGAAAGTATTTAAAATACAGTAAATAGTATTTGAACCCAGGTCTGGTAGCCATATCCATAGATGGTGACAAAGAGAAGAGAGACTTACCTGACACATACACATTGGTATTCTTGTCTGTTTCCACATCAAACCAGGCTGCAAAGACAAGGATGTCCCTTTGAGTACACACATCACTTTGAGATTATCACATGTTCACTTCATGGATGTAAAACATCCTGTACCTGCGTCTGCCTTCCTCTTCTCTCCTTTCTCCTTTTTGACCTCTTTGGACTGTTCCGTGTCTGTGCTCTTCTCTGCTTTCTTCCCCTCCTCTGGTTTGGCTGGTGTGTCGGTGTCAGGTGCACATGCAGCATTTGGATCATGCTCCCCATCCTTTGTGAAGCCGTAGTTAGCTTGATACGCTGCAAGGAAGTCCTCTGTTATCTGGACGAGAAGACCAGAATTACCCTAAGCACTACTTCACACAAAATATTCTCACAACAAAAGGTGATCAGAGAAACTGACAGAAATGTACGATTTTAGGCAGAAGATGAGAAGGTAACATACTTTAGGAAACCATGCTTTCTTGTCATGGTCCCAGTCATACTCTGTCCCATCCTCTGGGTCCACGAAGGTGTAAGGGTCATCTCTGCCCCCCTGTTTCTGGCCATACAGCTGCTGCAACCGGAGCTGCTCATGGAACTCCTTATTTCCATTAGTATCACCACTCATCTAAACAACAACAGGAAAAACTGGTTCAGGTAGTGACAAGGACATATTTGCATTGAAGATCTTTCTTGTGTCGAGAACATGCTGTGATGTTGAATGGTACATTGCCAGCTAGAATAGTGGCCCAACCATGTTAACTAATCATTTCAAAACTAACGGAAGACTGGTGAACTGTAGAGTCAAGATTTTTAGCTAGCTAGTTACTGGCAATCAATCAAGTGTGCCTAGCTAGCTTACGTAGCTCACTAATGACAACACACTTGCAACGGTAGCTAGCCATCTCTGTCTTGTGTGTTTGGCCAGGAATTCGACGACAAAACGAAATAGTGAGCCAAATAGCAGCAATGGTTGTATTTGGAGATCAATGAATTGTCGCATTTCTTATGTAGAGTATTGATTAGTTATCTAATTTCACGTTCACAAAACATTAGCCAACTAACGTTACCTTTGATGGTCCACCAACGATGACTGAAGATACACTTCCGGTGTCAAAGAATAACGTCCGGTAGTTAATAAACAACATGAGGGTCGTCACTAGTTACCACAGCCACAAAGTCATAATTATGTATAAACCCCACCCATTTCTACAATTTAGCAATTTAGCTCATGCCAAAGAGCAAGAGGATTTACTCCGCCCAAATTATGTCCGCGTGAGATAAGCCCTTTTTTGTACGCAGGTCAATGAGAAAGTGTGGAATTGCATGAGGCTTATTTGATTGAATAAAATGTCGTAATGCTTAGGCTGTTACAAATGTATTGATATAAGTGGATGCACATGGCATTCCGCCAACTTTAAGAAAACCAATTTAGTTGTGCCTGTTGTTCACAGGTGTATCTGCCCACTGAGGTAGATCGGCCCTCTCATTGGCTAGAATCAAATATATTTATAACTAACCCAAGATAGACCAGAGCCTGTCGCATTGGGAGGAAAATAATCATAGTGGGCAGAACAAGCAAGGAGGTGGGCAGAGCTAAGCACGAGCTTGCGAGATCCTATTGGCGCTTTCTAGCATTATTTGCATATCTCCGTGTGCAATAACTCAACTCTGTTCCTAACAGATTATAGTTTTGGGACCAGAAAACTGTAGTGAGATCAAATGTTTAATCCATGACAAAATTAGCAGAATGTCGGCCAAAATCCATCTTGCTCCATCTTCTCCCACTGCCAGCCACTGGGCCAGAGAGTTGGATATAATGACAAGATACCTATGTCTCCACCCTAACAATGTTATTCATTGTCCACAGAGTGGAATGGCAGGGTGTCAAGCTCCCGCCTATTCCTCTATTTGGATTGATGGATACATCTCGCTATTTTAAGACATTTTTGAACATTCGATGAGGGTTGTTGACATCAACCAAATGTATTCAATGGAGAGAGGCTATGCTACTAACCTCATGTCAATATAAAGTGTTTTTTTCTTGTTGCAAGGATGTCACATGTCCTACTTATATCAGTACACTTGTAACAACCTAAGCAGTACTGAAACTTCTTATTAGATTAAATAAACCTTAAGTAGCAAATAAACCATAAAAAATGTGTTGACCAAATTCAACACACTCATTGACCTCCATACAAAAACTCCTCGCTTGGTGAGGGAAAGAAACGAAACAACACCACCTGCTGGAGAAGACAGATTTTTGACCCAGTTATCCCTCTCCATTCGCCTCTTCCTCTCTGACTGGGCTTCCTCTCATCACCATTGGTGTTGAGTGGAAATGCCTGGCTCATTGTTCAATCTGTGCTGGAATAGTTCCACCTAATCTCGTCTGCCATCCATCCTTGAGAGACATGTATTTCCATTGTTAGCACGGTCACGCGAATATCTTGTCAATATAGGCTATAACAGTAGAGAGCACCACCCCTTTCACCACAAATCAACAAAATAACTGGGGTCAGTGCTTCCATCCCAATTTTTCAGGCGCATACTTGTATTTTTCCTCTCACATAATACTTTGATGCTGACACAAATACCGATATTTAAAAAATGATTGCAGTCAATGTCATTTATTGTCAGTTTTACACACGTTTACAGACTAGTCTAATTTGTCACACCTTCAGTACAATTAATATATCAGTAAGGATGGACATCAGGACATCAGCTAGATCATCACAATGAACTTCATTTTTATTTGTTCCAATGTAAGAATAAAATAAAAACATCATTCATATTATGTCCAAAATTACTTTTGCTTCATCATACTGTGCATATGCTACTCTCTTGGGGAGACTTCCTTCACAAGTGCATTCATGTCCCATTAAGATTGAGTCAAAGCACAAGCTGCCATGTCAGACAAAAGCAAGCTATGTCTGATATTTCAGATTGCACACGCTGATTGCACAAGTTGACTTACAATCTTTGTTTGTAAGCACAAATTAAAAGGTGTTCCTCCCTGCTGTATTTGAAAGGTGTTAAGGGATGGGTAGCCGATGTCTTGGGTGAGATCCGTCTTGCCAAGTGGGCCCCTCGTAGTTCCCCTCCTCTGGGAAAGAGGCCCTCTTGTGAGGAAGAGGAGTGGCGTTGCATTGGACGCGTGGTAGTGCAAAGCTATTCACATACACGAGGTCTGCCAACCAGGGGGAAACAAGAAGAACATATATTTATACACTAAACACTGTCTCTCTAATCACTCATGATAATGTCCTCATAGGAGTCATAGAATAATGATAAATCAGAATGATTCTTGCTTGGAAATAATGGGATCTCACCCAAGTTAGGTCTTCTGATGGAGACCTGTCGTTGACTGGAGTCGGAGGAGGCAGATGTGCTGTCTGTGGCACTGGACTTGATGGACCTCACAGAAGGCATGCGCACCAGAGGGTTAGGCCTGTATTTGGCACCAACCGTGGCAGTATGGCTCCATTCTGAACAAGACAAGTTATACATCTCCAACTTTTTATTTTCAGATCAACATAAAAATGTATTTTTTGTAAACATTTAATTTAATCTGACAATGGTCAAACTGAGTAATTTCATTTCTGATTTGGGTGGTAGGAAGTTATATTGATATGTGATTGCAAATACCAGAGTATTCTTGGAGCCTTAAGCTTCCAAAGCACAAATGGATTCTCCATTGTTTTCTCACATTCTCCTTCATCAGACAGTGGAACAGGAATATAAAGAACCCTGAAACACAGTGGTAACACTGGCATCAGGTTATACCCTATATACCCAATACCCTATGATGTAGCCCTTTCCTGTAGTCAATTAACAAAAGCGCCCTCGTTGGACTCATGGTTGGAATGTTATTAATATTTTTCATAATTGCATAATTAATAAAGATTATTTAAAAGAAAACGAATAAAATCCAGTGTTTCTATGTCAAACAGTTTTGTTATATTTCAGTCTTCTGTGATGTTTATACTGTAACGTGTAATATTGGGATGCAAGCTGAAAATGGAATACATTTCAACTCTATATCTGACATCGTACGTGTGTGAGGTGTATACTTTTGTTTCAAAGTAGATTTGTTTAAGACTACCAATAATCACTCTGCGTGACCCTGATTTAGCCCACTGCAGTAAAAGGTTAAAGGGATGAACTGGCATCAGGTTATACCCTATATCTTATACCCTATGACTTAAACAGACAAACGCCTGTTGCTTGGCAGCAGTCACTCACCTTGCAGACTGTTCAGGACACAGAAGACGTAGATGAGGGGAACCTTGGCTGGCCCCCAGGCGAAGAAAGCCACAGTCCAGGTGAGACCCAGCAGGAAGGTGAGACTGGACACCCCCTTCAGGTCCTGCAGAAGGAGGCCGCTGTGGATGCCGGCTGGCTGATTGACCCGCATGTGGCGGATCTGGACCAGGACCACAACGAAGGTAGCCATGTTGCACAGCAGCACCAGCAGAATGTAGCCCACCACAGACACATAGAAAGTCACTTCATCTTGGATCCAGCAGCTGATAATAGGAGAGAGGGATTTATCTACACATCTGAATAACAACCTCAGTCCAGAATCTATAATACACAGATATACTTTACAGACACTAGTACCACACAATGGTCATCCATGATCTACACTTTGTTTAATTTAACTGTATAAAGTTTTGACTTGAGTTGACACTGAGAGTGTCAGATACATGTCATTAAGTGTCAGAAAAAAAGGTGCTGCTCATCTAATGATAGTGACCGGGAACGATAAACTACGGAAGGATGAATCTAATACCCACAACGCATCTGGGTTATCCAGTGGTTCTATGGACTCACTGCCGAGGGAACTGCCGTAAGACTCTCTCTTCATAACCAGAACAAGGCAACACATAACCAGAGGGATTCCTGCAAGAGGGGAGGAAGATGGAGAAGGAGAACAGGTGATATGGTTCAATTTATAAAAGTAAAGGGGAATACTGCTAACTAGTAAAAAATAAAAAAAAGAACACATTTTGCTAATGTTCTAATTGAACTAAGACGTTGATCTCACCCCATCCTAGCGCACAGAACTTTAGGATGTAGGATGGCACATAAACATTGAAGACTTTGACCAAGGCAAAGTACATATGCACAGCCTCCAGGCCCATCCAAGTGAAAGAGGCCAGCAGGAAGTAGTGCAGTGTGGAAGCCACCGCCACACAGAGCCCATAGCTGCCAAAGGAGGAGAGCCAGGAGTTGACGAGGAAAACCATGTTGAGCCCCAGCAGCGCCAGAGACAAGTTGATGAGGATCTTAGATGGATAGTCTCTGCGGAGCTTCCTGTGAGGGAAGGTGGGGGGATATGAGACAGAGAGGAAGCAGACAGGGCAAGAATCAAGTAGATAGTTCTGTATAAGGTGTATGAAAAAAAGTAGGAGGCTGTGGAATGAATAAGTTACTTTACAACAGACGAAAAGATGATACAGTGTGAAAATAGGAAGACGGTACCACTCTAAACTGCCGGGTGTACAGTATGTAACTGAATTGATTCATACTCAAATGCTGTGTATGTCAATACAGTGATTCCCAGGAAGAGGGAGGATACACCACAGCCCAAATAAGTTATGATGGTCAGAATTTCCTCATTTGGTATGTCGACTGGAGTCCTGGATACGTCCTATAACACAAGTGAGGACAGTGGGGTAGAGAATGACATCATAGTGACAACAAAGCTTTGATAAAGTTTTGTAAGGTTACCAGCCTTGGTGCATTTAAATGAGGGTCATTACCAGAAGTACTCCAAAATGAGTGAGGTGGTCACACAGGCATGTGGTATAGTCAGCACTGGTGTTGTGCTTCCTGCATCCATGCTGTTCCCATCCTCCATTTCCTTCTGTAGTAAAATAAACTAAATACTTGATCTACCTCTGAGATAACATAAACACACAAATCAACTCTAAGTATACTCTTTCCAAAATGTTCTGATTTTATTTGTTTGATAATTCTTCAGTGATTTACAGTGCCTTCGGAAAGTTTTCAGACCCCATGACTTTTTCCACATGTTGTTACGTTACCACCTAATTTAAAAATTGATTAAACAGTTTTCCCTCATCAATCTACACACAATACCCCATAATGACAAAGCAAAAACAGGTTTTTAGAATTTTTTGCTAATTTATTTGGGGGAAAAAACGGAAATATCACATTTACATAACTATTCAGACCCTTTACTCAGTACTCTGTTGAAACAACTTTGGCAGCGATTACAGCATCGAGTCTTCTTGGGTATGACGCTACAAGCTTGGCACACGTGTATTTGGGGAGTTTCTCCCATTCTTCTCTGCAGATCCTCTCAAGCTCTGTCAGGTTGGATGGGGAGCGTCGCTGCACAGCTATTTTCAGGTCTCTCCAGAGATGTTCGATCGGGTTCAAGTCCGGGCACTGGCTGGGCCACTCAAGGACATTCAGAGACTTGTCCCAAAGCCACTCCTGCGTTGTCTTGGCTGTGAGCACAGGGTCGTTGTCCTGTTGGAAGGTGAACCTTCGCCCCAGTCTGAGGTCTTGAACGCTCTTGAGCAGGTTTTCATCAAGGATCTCTCTGTACTTTCCTCCGTTCATCTTTGCTTCGATCCTGACTAGTCTCCCAGTCACTGCTGCTGAAAAACATCCCCACAGCATGATGCTGCCACCACCATGCTTCACCGTAGGGATGGTGCCAGGTTTCCTCCAGACGTGACGCTTGGCATTCAGGCCAAATAGTTCAATCTTGGTTTCATCAGACCAGACCTTTTGGCAAACTCCAAGCGGGCTGTCATGTGCCTTTTACTGAGGAGTGGATTCCGTCGGGCCACTCTACCATAAAGGCCTGATTGGTGGAGTGCTGCAGAGATGGTTGTCCTTCTGGAAGGTACTCCCATCTCCATAGAGGAACTCTAGAGCTCTGTTAGAGTGACCATCAGGTTCTTGGTCACCTCCCTGACCAAGGCCCTTCTCCCCCGATTGCTCAGTTTGGCCGGGCGGCCAGCTCCAGGAAAAGTCTTGGTGGTTCCAAACATACTCCATTTAAGAATGATGGAGGCCACTGTGTTCTTGGGGACCTTCAATGCTGCAGAAATTTTTTTGGTGTCCTTCCCCAGATCTGTGCCTCGACACAATCCTGTCTCGGAGCTCTACGGACAATTTGTTCGACCTCATGGCTTGGTTTTTGCTCTGACATGCACTGACAACTATGGGACCTTATATAGACAGGTGTGTGCATTTCCAAATCATGTCCAATCAATTGAATTTACAACAGGTAGACTCAAATCAAGTTGTAGAAACAACTCAAGGATGATCATCGGAAACAGGATGCACCTGAGCTCAATTTCGAGTCTCATAGCAAAGGGTCTGAATACTTATGTAAATAAGGTATTTCAGTTTTTTTATTTTAATAAATGTGCCAACATTTTTTTAAACCTGTTTTTGCTTTGTCATTATGGGGTATTGTGTGTAGATTGCTGAATAATTGTTTGTATTTAATACATTTTAGAATAAGGCTGTAACGTAACAAAATGTGGAAAAGGTCAAGGGGTCTGAATACTTTCTGAAGGCACTCTATAATAGGACCCACCATTTTGATTGAAGTCCCAGTAGACACACTGCACCCCCTTGCCAAGCTTCAAGAGAAAATATAATTGGATCAGGCACTAGAATATGGGTTTGATTGATCATTTTACAAGTGGTTGTTCAATTGATTTATTGTCACTGTTACGAAAAAAGATTAGAGTTAAGAGTTTTTTTTACAGCAGTAATTTTGCAGTGTAACTGCAGTTGGAGCGCAGTATAACTGCAGTTCAACTGCACTACACCGTAGTTATTCTGCAATTACTGCGTCCAAAATACCACAGTCGACTGCAGTTACTACACTTTTACTGCAGTTTCAAAACTGCAATCTTTTTTTGTAAGGGCAGTAAGTGTTCCACATACTGTATTGGACATCAGGTGATGCAGTGTCACCTCAACATCCTCCTCTAGGTCCTTGATGGGGCCACTGGCATTGGTGACACTGGCTGAGACCACATAAGTGTTCAGGATCTTCCCACTCGGGTTGTTCTGAAAGCGAAAGTATACAGGATTGGGATTTACTTCTATCCTTTAATACAATACAGTTCTGACATAATAAACCCTGCTGTGGTGCAACTCTGTTACCATGAAGAGAGTTGGGATTCCATAAAACTGAAACTGAACCCGCGGCTGGGCACCACTGTGTTGAGGAAAGCTGTACTTCAAGGCTGATGGTAGGGAGATTAATGCAACTGTCCCTTTGAATGGATCCTTGTTGATATAAATCTACAACACCAAGATGAATTAAGGCCATCACCAGAATGCCATCTCAAAATCAATGACTGTACAGATGGTTAAACTGGCTTTACTCCTCAGAGCAGTTATATTACCTCGTGTTTAGAAGGATAACGCTGGTAAACTATTGTTATGTATGGTATTTCATTCGTGCTAACCTCAGGGTTCAGGCCCTCTGCCGTTGACGAGACGCCAAAGGTGAGGCTCTGAAACTGGCCAGGATCTACATCCACCACAGAGATCGCCATCGCAGGAGCAACCAAAGTGTAATTTGTCTGGGAAAAACAAGACATCTTGTCCCCAACCATCTCTGTGATGTTCAGTATTCTACAGAGCAAAGAGAAGGGGGCAGAGAAGAGGACACAGTGAAGAGTGATAGCAGAGCATACTGGAGAAAAAGAGAGAGACAGAGAGAGAGAGAGAGAGAGAGAGAGAACATATTATCAATTCGTACAGCTTCAATAGTCTAGGGCTACGATCCGATATCCATACTAACATTAGCCCAATACATTCCTTCATTCTAAGTAGTATGTTAGTGTGGATACTGGACCAGGTTCAAGGTCTATCGTGTTCGTCTGTGTGGTTTTGAAAAAGCCTCCTCCTGATCACCACTCCATTTCTTTAACCACCTGATCTGTGTCGTAGGGCTGAGTGGAACAGAGAGAAAACACCCACTGATTGGTGACATGCTGCAGGTAGCTCTTAGACTCCAACATGTCTGAGATGATGCTGATGATAGCTTTGCCCAGAGGTGGGGTCATCCAGCTGATGGATACAATGTTTTTGAGTTTCGTCAGAACGGTGTCAAGTTCAGTGCAGTTGAGGTGTGGATGGTCCTCCAGCAGGCTCTCTATCATCTCTACCACATCCATCGCGTTCTCTGAAAACATCACAAGCATAATACATTGATTGAAATCCGAAAGGTAGACGGTTTCGAATCCTAGGTTGGGCCCCTACCATCGGAAAGTATTCAGACCCTTTGACTTTTTCCAAATGTTGTTACATAACAGCCTTATTCAAAAATTGTCAAAGACTCCAGACACCCTAGTCATAGACTGTTCTCTCTGCTACCGCACGGCAAGCGGTACCGGAGCGCCAAGTCTAGGTCCAAAAGGCTTCTTAACAGCTTCTACCCCCAAGCCATAAGACTCCTGAACAGCTAATCATGGCTACCCGGACTATTTGCACCCCACCCCCTCTTTTACACTGCTGCTACTCTGTTTATTATCTATGCATAGTCACTTTAACTCTACCCACAAGTACATATTACCTCAATTACCTCGACTAACCGGTGCCCCCGCACATTGACTCTGTACCGGTACCCCCTGTATATAGCCTCCCTACTGTTATTTTATTTTTTCCTTATCTATTTTTTCCTTTTTCTTAAAACTGCATTGTTGGTTAAGGGCTTGTAAGTAAGCGTTTACTTACAAGCCCTTAATTCGGCGCATGTGGCAAATACAATTTGATTTGATTTGATTTATTCTCCAATTGATTTTTTTTTAAATCCTCAGCAATCTATACACAATACCCCATAATTACAAAGCAAAAACAGGTTTTTGAGAAATATTTGCAAATGTATACAAAATCAAAAACAGAAATACCTTATTTACATAAGTATTCAGACACTTTCCCATGAGACTCGAAATTGAACTCAGGTGCATCCTGTTTCCATTGATCATCCTTGAAATGTTTCTACAACTTGATTGGAGTCCACCTGTGGTAAATGCAATTGATTGGACATGATTTGGAAAGGCACACACCTGTCTATATAAGGTCCAACAGTTGACAGTGCATGGCAGAGCAAAAACCAAGCCATGAGGACAAAGGAACTGTCCGTAGAGCTCTGAGACAGGATTGTGTCGAGGCACAAATCTGGGGAAGGACACCAAAAAATGTCTGCAGCATTGAAGGTCCCCAAGAACACAATGGCCTCCATCATTCTTAAATGGAAGAAGTTTGGAACCACCAAGACTCTTCCTAGAGCTGGCCACCCATCCAAACTGTCCAAACTGAGGGAGAAGGGCCTTGGTCAGGGAGGTGACCAAGAAGCCGATGGTCACTCTGACAGAGCTCTAGAGTTCCTTTGTGGAGATGGGAGAAACTTCCAGAAGGACAACCATCTCTGCAGCACTCCACCAATAAGGCCTTTATGGTAGAGTGGCCAGACAGAAGCCATTCCTCAGTAAAAGGCACATGACAGCCCGCTTGGAGGGCACCTAAAGACTGTCAGACCATGAGAAACAAGCTTCTCTGGTCTGATGAAACCAAAATTGTACTCTTTGGCCTGAATGCCAAGCGTCACGTCTGGAGGAATCCTGGCACCATCTCTACGGTGAAGCATGGTAGTGGCAGCATCATGCTGTGGGGATGCATTTCAGTGGCAGGGACTGGGAGACTAGTCAGGATCGAGGAAAATAGAGATCCTTGATGAAAACCTGCTCTAGAGCGCTCAGGACCTCAGACTGGGGCGAAGGTTCACCTTCCAACAGGACAACGACCCTGTGCACACAGCCAAGACAATGCAGTAGTGGCTTTGGGGCAAGTCTCTGAATGTCCTTGAGTGGCCCAGTCAGAGCCCGGACTTGAACCCGATCGAACATCTCTGAAGAGACCTGAAAATAACCTGACAGAAGAATAGGAGAAACTTTTTACATTTTACATTTTTAGTCATTTAGCAGACGCTCTTATCCAGAGCGACTTACAGGAGCAATTAGGGTTAAATGCCTTGCTCAAGGACTCATCGACAGATTTTTCGGTTACTGGCACAACGCTCTTAACCACTAAGCTACCTGCCGCCCCAAATACAGGTGTGCCTAGCTTGTAGTGTCATACCCATGCTAGTCAGCTATGGTGTCATAGTTGGCTAGCTGAATAAAGTGGGTTGAGTCTATTCCTTTAAACATTGAACAACTGTGGTTCACAACAATTCTGATTTCTAAAGGTGGAAGTTGGGAGAGTTTTTGTTCGGGTGGTTCAGTGAAACAATTTTAGTTTCTGAGGTAGAAGTTTTTGGTGAGGGAGGCCCCCCTCTCTCCTCTCCCAGATGCTTAGCTCATTTCATTCCGATCTCCTCTGCATTTTTGTAGCCATTTGCTACAGCCTGTCAACTATGCCTCTGCCTATCCCTGTTCTCTCCTCTCTGCACAGGCTACACAAACAACGCACCACACCGCGCGGCTGCTGCCTCTCTAACCTGGTGGTCCCTGCACGCACCCCTCACCTGGAGTTCCAGGTCGCAGGCAGCCTCTGGAACTGCCGTTCTGCTGCCAACAAAGCTGACTTCATCCCAGCCTATGCCAACCTCCAGTCCCTCGACTTCCTGGCGCTGACGGAAACATGGATCACCACTGAAAACACGGCTACTCCTACTGCTCTCTCCTCGTCTGACCATGTGTTCTCGCATACCCCGAGAGCATCTGGTCAGAGGGGTGGTGGTACAGGTATCCTCATCTCTCCCAAGTGGACATTCTCAATTTTTCCCCTAACCCATCTGTCTATCTCCTCATTTGAATTCCATGCTGTCACAGTCACTAGCCCATTTAAGCTTAATATCCTTGTCATCTATCGCCCTCCAGGTTCCCTTGGAGAGTTCATCAACGAGCTTGACGCCTTGATAAGTTCCTTTCCTGAGGATGGCTCACCCCTCACAGTTTTGGGGGATTTCAACCTCCCTATGTCCACGTTTGACTCATTTCTCTCTGCCTCCTTCTTTCCACTCCTCTCCTCTTTTGACCTCACCCTCTCACCGTCCCCCCCTACTCACAAGGCAGGCAATACGCTTGACCTCATCTTCACTAGATGCTGCTCCTCTACTAATCTCACTGCAACTCCCCTCCAAGTCTCCGACCACTACTTTGTTTCCTTTTCTCTCTCGCTCTCCTCCCACACTACTCACTCTGCCCCTACACAGATGGTAATGCGCCGCCGCAACCTTCGCTCTCTCTCTCCCACTACTCTCTCCTCTTCCATCCTATCATCTCTTCCCTCTGCTCAATCCTTCTCCCTCCAATCTCCTGATTCTGCCTCCTCAACCCTCCTCTCCTCCCTTTCTGCATCCTTTGACTCTCTGTGTCCCCTATCCTCCCGGCCGGCTCGGTCCTCCCCTCCAGCTCCGTGGCTTGATGACTCACTGCGAGCTCACAGAACAGAGCTCCGGGCAGCGGAGCGGAAATGGAAGAAAACTAAACTCCCTACCGACCTGGCATCTTTTCACTCCCTCCTCTCTACATTTTCTTCATCTGTTTCTGCTGCTAAGGCCACTTTCTACCACTCTAAATTCCAAGCATCTGCCTCTAACCCTAGGAAGCTCTTTGCCACATTTTCCTCCCTCCTGAATCCTCCTCCCCCCCCCCCCCCCCCCCCTCCTCTCTCTCTGTGGATGACTTCGTCAACCACTTTGAAAAGAAGGTTGACGACATCCGATCCTCGTTTGTTAAGTCTAATAACACTGCTGGTCCTGCTCACACTGCCCTACCCTATGCTTTGACTTCTTTCTCCCCTCTCTCTCCAGATAAAATCCTGCGACTTGTGACTGCAGGCCGCCCAACAACCTGCCCGCTTGACCCCATCCCCTCCTCCCTTCTCCAGACCATCTCCGGTGACCTTCTCCCCTACCTCACCTCGCTGATCAACTCATCCTTGACCGCTGGCCATGTCCCTTCCGTCTTCAAGAGAGCGAGAGTTGCTCCCCTTCTCAAAAAACCAACACTCGACCCCACTGATGTCAACAACTACAGACCAGTATCCCTTCTTTCTTTTCTTTCCAAAACTATTGAGCGTGCCGTCTTTAGCCAACTCTCTTGCTATCTCTCTCAGAATGACCTTCTTGATCCAAACCAATCAGGTTTCAGGACTGGTCATTCAACTGAGACTGCTCTTCTCTGTGTCACGGAGACTCTCCGCACTGCTAAAGCTAACTCTCTCTCCTCTGCTCTTGTCCTTCTAGACCTGTCTGCTGCCTTTGATACTGTGAACCATCAGATCCTCCTCTCCACCCTCTCCGAGATGGGCATCTCCGGCGCGGCTCACTCCTGGATTGCGTCCTACCTGACCGGTCGCTCCTACCAAGTGGCGTGGCGGGAAGCTGTCTCCGCACCACGTGCTCTCACCACTGGTGTCCCCCAGGGATCGGTTCTGGGCCCTCTCCTTTTCTCCCTATACACCAAGTCACTTGGCTCTGTCATATCCTCACATGGTCTCTCCTATCATTGCTACGCTGACGATACACAACTAATCTTCTCCTTTCCCCCTTCTGATAACCAGGTGGCGAATCGCATCTCTGCATGTCTGGCAGACATATCAGTATGGATGACGGATCACCACCTCAAGCTGAACCCTGGCAAGACGGAGCTGCTCTTCCTCCCGGGGAAGGACTGCCCGTTCCATGATCTCGCCATCACGGTTGACAACTCCGCTGTGTCCTCCTCCCAGAGTGCGAAGAGCCTAGGCGTGACCCTGGACAACACCCTGTCGTTCTCCGCCAACATCAAGGCGGTGACCCGCTCCTGCAGGTTCATGCTCTACAACATTCGGAGAGTGCGACCCTGCCTTACACAGGAAGCGGCGCAGGTCCTGGTCCAGGCACTTGTCATCTCCCGTCTGGACTACTGCAACTCGCTGTTGGCTGGGCTCCCTGCCTGTGCCATTAAACCCCTACAACTCATCCAGAATGCCGCAGCCCGTCTGGTGTTCAACCTTCCCAAGTTCTCTCACGTCACCCCCCCTCCTCCGCACACTCCACTGGCTTCCAGTTGAAGCTCGCATCCGCTACAAGACCATGGTGCTTGCCTATGGAGCAGTGAGGGGAACGGCACCTCTGTACCTTCAGGCTCTGATCAGTCCCTACACCCAAACGAGGACATTGCGTTCATCCACCTCTGGCCTGCTGGCTCCCCTTCCTCTGCGGAAGCATAGCTCCCGCTCAGCCCAGTCAAAACTGTTCGCTGCTCTGGCACCCCAATGGTGGAACAAGCTCCCTCACGACGCCAGGACAGCGGAGTCACTCACCACCTTCCGGAGACATTTGAAACCCCACCTCTTTAAGGAATACCTGGGATAGGATAAAGTATTCCTTCTAACCCCCCCCCCCCCCCCCCAAATTGTAAAGTGGTTATCCCACTGGCTATAGGGTGAACGCACCAATTTGTGAGTCGCTCTGGCTAAGAGCGTCTGCTAAATGACGTTAATGTGCCCTTGAGCAAGGCACTTAACCCTAATTGCTCCTGTAAGTCGCTCTGGTTAAGAGCGTCTGCTAAATGACTAAAATGTAAAATGTAATACCCAAGAAGACTCAATGCTGTAATCGCTGCCAAAGGTGCTTCAACAAAGTACTGAGTAAAGGGTCTGAATACTTATGTAAATATTGTTATTTTTTATTTTTTATAAATGAGCAAAAATGTCTAACAACCTGTATTTGCTCTGTAATTATGGGATATTGTGTGTAGATTGATGAGGAAAAAACGATTTAATCAATTTTAGAATAAGGCTGGGGGGATCTGTTGTAACATATGGACAATAAAGTTGTATTCTAAATGGACGTAGCAGAACTATCCAGGAACTCACCAGGAGTGACTTCAATGTTGTCTAGGTCTGTAATGGTCTCAACCACAAATGGGCACTGGTGCAGATCTGGGATGCCCCAACTGATTGTTATACCCAACAGACTGTAAGTACGACAGGTGTGGCAGGAGTCATCCGCCCATGGTCAAACAGATGAGAGACAGGAAAATTAACGTCAATTAATATAATATATTTCCTGAATGTAAGTGTTAGGTGCCTCGTAATTCAATCCATATGGCATTTTTAAAGGCTCAGTAATAGTTGTGCAGTCCATCATATATTTATCTTAATGGAGGCGAACAGGTGTCTCAGAGACCAACAATATCACATCCCTTGCAAACAGTATGGCTCCATTCTTAACACACATAATAAAATCGATCATGGTAATTATTTAAATATTAGCTCTGCTCATTCTCTCTAACGGATTCATGTTTTTATTGCAGGACGTATTCCAGATGTAGTCATCAATTGATTTTGTTATAATCGTTCAATGCAAATATCCCTGTTCCAGTGTGAAAGAGAGACAGCTTGGTCATTATGTTGCAGACAGCACACAGTCTCTGACAACAAGATGAAATGGGCTATAAAATCAATGAGCCAGAAACAATAGAACTCTAAAAATAAACTGTTCGATGACAGGAGAGACAACATTTTTGAGACCACAAGAGCCTTTCATCATTGGTAATTTGTCATAAATCATCATAATGGACTACAGTATGTCAGCTTGACAGTTTGTCTCACCAGAGCCTGGTAGCCATCTTGCTGGGGTCTCCCTGACATGGCAGCGTGGCAGTCTGGGGGGCCCAGGTGACCGGCCATACAAACAGGCCATGTCTGGTCTGGTGGCGGTGCTCAAGACAACTCCCTGGCGGTGGAGCAAACAAGGAACACAAGGCATCAACGCCTGCACAATCCACAGGGACAAATGCTCTATTTTCACATCAAATAAGTTCAAATCATTCATATCAAAGGGAAAGCAATTTTCGACCGTTTTTTTTCTTCAACCCCCAAGCCTCTTTTTCTCTAGACATTCCCAGAGTCCTTTCAATTTGAGTTTTATGGGTCTTGTTTCATTCAAACAAAGCTTACGTATATGACGGATCTTGATGTCCTTGGACTTGGTTTCTATGGTTATAAGGTCATTGGTGTATATCTTCTCCAGCAGGGTACGGATCCTTGTTGTTGTCTCCTCTTGACTTGATGACGTTGTCACCCGCACCCGGAACAGGCAGCCGTGTCTGTGGATGGATGGGGAAACCAAATAGTTACATATTGTTCACTCCATTTTATTATAAATGACATGCAGTGTTTAGTTGTCCTCAGTGTATGTCTGACTCGCTTGTGATTTTATTTCTATATTTATTTTATTATTTTCTATGATCATACCTTGACGTTTTGAGCAAGGAAGGCTGTAAGAAAGAGTGGCACTATTTAGTGCCAACAGACCCTGAGTATTTGTGAAGACAGAGTACCGGCAGGTCAAAGTAGTTTTCATTTTACAATGGGGATATGTTAACCTCTCACAATTAAATGTCTTGCTGCCTCAACTACCAAGAGAGTAATTTACATACCCTATCAGAATCAGTCGTGTTTGATCGTGGAGATGGATGCTGCACACTGAAAGACAGATCACCTACTGATTTAACTGATACTCTGTATTCTGTTTATTCTTTAAGACGTTTGTATTAAGAGCCAGGCAAAATCTCCCATGATTCCATTTGTGGGATATAGTGAGTGTTTTACTGATACATACCTGTATGCCTTTACCAAAAGCTGGAAGATCAGAACAGACATCTCAGCAGGTAGAGTGCCATACAGCTGAACATGTCAGAGAACAGGCAGAGTGATTAGTAACCTGGATTCATCAGGAAATCAAGCATTTGAATGAAGAAATGCTGTCCTTTCGGCTCACATACCCAGTTAATGATAGTCTGTCTCGGATTGTCACAGGACCCAGTAAGGGTCACGTTCGCATCAACCTCGAAATATATGTCTGCAATGAAAGACAGTTTACGCCTCATGTCCACCAGATGCATCAAACTCTTTGCGTTCCGACGGAAGTCATTAATTGTCAATGGAGCAGTCTGCAACGCTACGTTGGGGGTGCTGCGGTGCGTTCAGTGTACCGCATGAGTTCAATATTTTCAACTCGTGCGTTGCTTTACCGTGCGGTGGTACAAACAGAAGTACACACAGACTCCAACTAGCTAGCTTTTAGCTAGTTGAAAAGCGAAGCACATGTGCGCCAAGTACGGAAAATCCGTCTAGACATCTGGCAAAACAAAATGCATATGCATCTGGTGGACATTGGAAGTTCGAGGTAGTAACCCACCTCCCAACAGAGAGCGGGTACATTTTCAATGTAAAAATCCTATCACATGCAGTAATTAGTTTGGTTGTGGATGGAAGAAGGGATGGACTGGATCATTTCCTGAAACAGATGAGGAACACACTAACCTGAGAGTTTGCCACCAGTCGTGACACTAAGGTCTGTGGTTGTGTCAGAAGAGGCTTCAGTGACTATGTCAATGGGAGGAATGTGTGTGGCTCGGGGGAAGTCCTCTGTGGAAAAAGACAATCACTCTCCTCATTACAGTGGAACCATAGACATGTATTGGTTCTCCTCATCACAGTGGAACCAAAGACCATTGACATCACTCATCTAGATCATCTATAAGACCAGGAGTTTGTCCTCCTGACCAGGAAAAACTCAGGGCCCTAATCACTTATTAACATTTCCTCTTTAGTCATTATTTTCTCTCCAGAGGTGGGATTCCTTTTGAAAAGCTTTGTGTCTTACCTACAGCGTTCACTTGGATGCTGTGGGGTTTAGCCACTAGTGTGAGATGTCCGGAGTTATGATGTGTGTTCAGCAAAAGAGAGACCTGTTTCTGCACTGTCCTGACATCAGAGCTGGGGATAACATTCAGGTGGACCAGGCAGTCAAAGCTGTGTGGTGATACAACAATGATTAAACAACAACAAGCACAAGTCCTTTTAGTCCCAAACCTATAGCTTCAATCAGCTCCTGGAAATGTGAGGTAGTGAGTATATTTCTTTGTAAATGTTTTGACAATTGTAGTAGTGTCATAGAGACCTTTTTCAAAAAGTTAAACTTGAACCTTTGTGAATACCACCAGAATAAAGTATTTCTTACTTGTTTGTATTGAATTCAGCCCGCAATTTTGGTTTGTCCTGGGGAATTGAAATTGTAATAAATGCTATCATTTGTGCTCAAAAAGGTGCACTGATCATCATCAGAATACATGTTTAACTTTGTAACTATCATGTTATTGTTCTTACTGTGTATTGTAGGATCATCATTCCATCGAGTTCAACACTTACCTGGCCCTCTTCCTCGTATGTCTCACCAACAATGTTAAGAGTGTGAAATGGCCTGCAGTGGAGATTGCAATTGAGAGGAAGAGATTATTTACTTATATTGCATAAATAAATCCATTATATACCTGTACTAAATTTGTAGTTGGGTCTTTTCTTACCTGGTTGACACAGACACAGAGACTCTGTACAAATAGTATTTGTTGGATGGTAATATTTTTCTGAGCTGCAATTAGATAAAGTTAATGGAACCATCAAAACAGAGAACGTTACATATGGAGAGTTCTGAACTCTCTTCTAAAAGTTCTGGAATCATTCTAAACACTGTGCAACAGTAAGTGAAATGTGACCCAATATCTTACCCATTGATGTGCAAGGTCTCTGGCTTTGTATTTATCTGTACTGTTTCCATCGTAGCAGATGATGGTGATCTTGACTTTAACTTCATATAGAGACCAGGCTGACAGAAATTATGAAAATGATGTCATTGATCAGAAGCAATGTATAAGATGCAAAGCATTGCTTTGGTGTTTAGACCATTTACCTTCTGACTTGTAGCTACTTATCATCTACAGATCTACCGTAGAAGAACCATCTCTAACGACCTGAAAGTAACTGCAGAGAGCTTTGAGTTTGATGTTTAACACATGTTTAATGATTCACCCTGTGTTTGCTCCATTGGATACGAGATCAATATTTGAACTTGGGTCCAGATACATAACAGGAACAGCAGAGGACACCAGAGAAATAATAAAATGGCTAATCATAGCTGACACCAATCAGTTTTTCCATAGAGAATTACATTTAAAATAAATGTATAGATAATCAAAATCTATATAAAATATAAATGGTCTCCTGCCTCACCACATTGTAGACGGGAGTCTGGGACTGGAGGACACCTCAGGGTGAGCCAGTCGACAGCATCCCAGCGCACCTCATCCCCCTCTGTGCAGCTCAGGTCAGACACCTGTTCAGGGGTGCGTGCCTGTCCCCACATGCGGAACAGAGACAGACTCCCATTGAAGTTGGTACCGTTCTCCACATGCATCTCCCCTTGGACTACGTAGTGCGAGACACCCAGGGTGAGTGTGCCGTTGGGGGCCAGCCTGCAGCAGGAGGGGGACAGGGGGGATTCCTTAGCATGGGCTGGAACATCCACACTGCTCCCATTGACGTAGAGGGCTGGCTGGTGAGATGCCCCAGACCAGGTTATACAGATGTAGTGCCAGTGGCCCAGGGGGAGGTGGAGGGGGGCTGACCACCTCATCCCAAACAGCCAGATGTGGACGAGGCCCTCCTGACCGGCCAGGCCCAGCTCAGCCTGCAGCCCGTCAGGGTGGAGGTACATGAAGGCTGTCCAGTCCGGTGTGCTGATGTGCTGCTGAAGGTGGACACACACACTGAGCTCCTCCAGGGCAGGGATGGAGAGGTCCGGACTCAGCTGCCAGTAGCTGCACTCCCCTGTAAAGTCAGCCATTTCCCCCCACAAGCTCACACTGGAACCCTCTGGTGTACACAGGGCACATGGACTGCTGTCAGTTGTTTGTCGTACTTATCTTCCACATCTCCATTCATCTCTTCACTCTCTTCCAGATACAGTATTTCTCCAAAAATGGTCAGCATATGGCTTGTTATTGATCAGTTGTTTGTGTAATTGAGTGTGAGTGCTGAGTGCAGTGCAGTGCAGTGCTGTGGCCAGCTGTTTACCTGGATCCTGGGGAGAGGCACGGCTTAGTAGAGACAGACTGAGAAGGAGATGGAGGAGTTTCTTACAAAGGTTCATCACAGCTCTGAAATAAACATCAATAACAGTAAGACCTGCACTCAAGCTTTTACTCTGGTGTTTTATATAAATCTTTGAAATGTAATCTTTGAAGATCTTATTTTGTAGGGAAACATTTTATTCTGTGTAATATCCTATCAATCATTGTACAAGCTTTACATTTGGGCAAACACTTTCCAAAGGACAGTTTTCTAAGCTGCTATTATCCAACACAATACAATATCTGAGAGAATATAGCAACTCTATTGCACTTTGTTATGTGTTCGCATATTGTCTTTCTATTATCATTGCTTCCACTGCCAAAGCCTTTAAGGTCGTTCCATATGACTTCAATCCCTTTCTAACTGCACCGCTTTTGATTTGAACAAAACCTTCCATACATGTTTTCCCACGGTAGACGTGGTCAGAAAGTGCCAAAACATTCAGGAGATAGAGGTGCTCAAAGGTGACCCATTTAGCATACCCCAGCCGACCATGAGACATCCATGTCTTCATCACTGAAAAAGATAAGTGGTTGATTTTGATATTATTTGAAAGCTTACAAACAGTGTTGTCAAACTGTTTTCAAATTTCCTGAGGAAATAAAAGTACAACAAAAAAAGATATAATATTTTAACCTTTAAAGTAAATTATCTAAAATGTGTAAACTCAGATATTTTTCAACATACAGTATGTTGTATCTTAGACCCTATTTTAAATCATCAGAGGTGTTTGTGTTGGGGCTACCATCGGTTTAGACACAGCATACTCACCTTATCCCTATACATATCTACCCCTACCACTCCAGTATCCCTGCACATTGTAAATATGGTATTAGAACTGACCCTGTATTTAGCTACTGACCCTGGAACTGTCCCTGTATTTAGCTACTGACCCTGGAACTGACCCTGTATTTAGCTACTGACCCTGGAACTGACCCTGTATTTAGCTACTGACCCTGGAACTGACCCTGTATTTAGCTACTGACCCTGGAACTGACCCTATATTTAGCTACTGACCCTGGAACTGTCCCTGTATATATCTTACTTACTTTCTTGTGTTCTTCTTATTTCTATTTCTTGTGTGTTTTTGTTCTACTTTACTTTATTTATAGTATAATATTTTTACTACTGATATTGATTACTGCATTGTTGGGAAAGAGAAAGCAAGAAAGGCATTCCACTGTACTTGTGCACGTGACAATAAAAAACTTGAAACTTGAAATAAATTAAAAAATGAAATAAAATAGAAATGTCAACTTTCAAATGTTTCAGATAATGTTGAATTGAGTGGGAATATCAATTGTTTAAATTAAACTGTAAATCTTCCATAGTAAACCTATTGAAATCATAGAAATATAGATCATAGAATAGACATTCCTTTTCAAGTTGACATTCCATGGTGGGTGGACCGGCGGCCATCTTTCTGGTAGTAATTGAAAGTTGAAATGTCAATTCATTTTACATTTCAATGGTGTACCTGCTAAATTGCATTGGTCTGAAGGAATAAGTCCATTCTATGAATTTCTATGATTGAAATGACAACCACCCTGTATTCAAGAGCATGTTGTGTCTCAGCGAGAACAACACATACACTACAGATGATGTAAAATAGGGTCTAAGCGACAACATGTGTAAATGAGAAAAATCAGAGTTTACGTTTTTAGATCAATTATTTTTTAACGTTTTAATTTTTTATTTTTCAAGAAATTATAAAATAGTTTGACCACCCTGTTTGTAACATTTCAAATGATATCAAACTCGATCGTTTATCTTTTTCAGTGATGAAGACATGGCTGTCTCGTGGTAGGGTGAAGTATGTAAAATGGGTCAACTTTGAGCACCTCTATCTCCTGAATGTTTTGGCACTTTCTGACCACTTCTACCGTGGGCAAACATGTATGGAAGGTTTCATTCAAATCAAAAGGGATGAAGTCAGAAAGTGATTGAAATCATATGAAACGACCCTTCATAGTCCAATGTGTAATTCAACATGAGACTGACCATATTCACAGTAATGAACATCTAGAATAATCTATAGCAGAATTATAGACAATCATAAAATATGACAATTTATGACATGAATGAGAGATGACATTATGATTAAAATGAAATTGAGTTGGAAATGGATATACTAAACAGAGAATAGAGTTTGACGCATATTTGACATCATATGAAGCATCCACCAACAACAACAACATTGGTTTGCCACTTTACACTTTATCCCTGTGTAAACCGCTGTCTTGAATTCAACTAAAATGTAAGTTTAATCACAAATAAATGTGCAAATACTGAAACACTTGTTCAATATCATTAAAGTGAAGTTAAAGTATACTTTTTTAAAGTAAATTATATAAATGGTGAATTGACTTACCAAATAATTAGGAGCCCTGCCACAGACAGATGATCCTGGTATATAGTAACTTTACTGGATGGTGCTATTAACCATTGTATCTATTCCTAAATTACCTGTAGTGTTCTATTGTCAGTGAGACCTGTAGTGTTCTATTGTCAGTGAGACCTGTAGTGTTCTATTGTCAGTGAGACCTGTAGTGTTCTATTGTCAGTGAGACCTGTAGTGTTCTAGTGTCAGTGAGACCTGTAGTGTTCTAGTGTCAGTGAGACCTGTAGTGTTCTATTGTCAGTGAGACCTGTAGGTGTCTACACACACCTTGAAAACCCCTATATGACTGTCGCTCCACCCCCTCACTTCTTACCTCTTTCAAATCAAATCAAATCAAATTTTATTTGCCACATGCGCCGAACACAACAGGTGTAGACATTACAGTGATATGCTTACTTACAAGCCGTAAAAAAACAAATAAAAAAAGTGTTAAGCAAAAAAAATAAAAGCAAATAACTAAAGAGCAGCAGTAAAATAAAATAACAGTAGGGAGGCTATACACAGGGGGGTACCGGTGCCAGTGAATCAGCCTCTAGGCTGGGTGTAAGATATTTTCTTCCCAGATAACTGCTCTTTCCAAGCTTGAAATTAATGCATGTTTGTTACATTTTAAATCTCTTAGTTTTGATGTCATATAAACTGTAAAGTGAAATGTCTGTTACTAGATTGATTAGGCAGCTGTCCATGGGGCTGAGATGAGCATCTGAATCTCATGTTGTGTTTTATAAAAAGAAAAAATAGTATATACTGAACCCAATATATGACAATGCAATGTAATTACAACTATCATAATGACAAAAGAAAACCAGAGTCCTTCGGAATGCTTTGTGGAAATAATATATTATTTTATTCCTGATAACAGACCCACCACACAAATGCAATATCCGTCACAATAGCTATTATAAGTAATCACTATGGGACACCGTATTTTCCTTTAAGACCTTTGAATTAACAGTTACAGTTATGATGTACCCCAGGGTTGAAATGTCTCCTATTGAATATAACCCAATCTTAAGAAAGATACTTGAATACCCCACAGAACCAACTGATACTAACCCAAATAAAAGTAAAACAATTGCTTTCAGCTTTACAACCTGACAAGCTGGCATGGCAGGCCCACTGTTTCCTCCAATCTGTTCCAGGTTCTTGGCACAGTCTGAGCAGAAGATGTCCCCTCCGTTGGCCACAAAGCGCTTGCTAGCCAGGCTCAGGGAGCACTTCTTGCAGTTGAAGCAGTACTCATGCCACGAGCTACCCTCGTAGTTCACTACATTGGTGGCTTTGAACAGGACAGAGAATAAACAACAAACAATTACAAATGTGTACAATCGTTCAATAGTGGAATTAGTGTGTGTGTTGTTTGTTTGTATGTATGTATGTATGTATGTATGTATGTATGTATGTGTGTATGTGTGTGTGTGTGTGTGTGTGTGTGTGTGTGTGTGTGTGTGTGTGTGTGTGTGTGTGTGTGTGTGTGTGTGTGTGTGTGTGTGTGTGTGTGTGTGTGTGTGTGTGTATTGACCTGTAATGGGGTTCTGGCAGCCGCTGCATTTCTTGGCTACAGTAGTCTTGTAGCAGTCCACACAGAAAGCCTTCTCCTCATTGGAGGTAAAGCGGGTCCCAGCCAGTGGCTTTCGGCAGGAGCTGCAGACAAAACACTCCGAGTGCCATGGCTGCTCCTGGTAGTTCACTCCCCTGTGGTAATGGCCTAGATAGGGGTCAGGAGAGAGTCAAGTCAGTTTAGAGGGGAATCCTCACTAGGGCCCTGTGTTTTGCGCAACCATGTGACATGCCTGGATTTCAACTTTTACTTACACTGAGCAAAAAAAATATAAACGCAACATGTAAAGTGTTGGTGCCATGTTTCATGAGCTGAAATAAAACATCTCAGACATTTTCCATAAGCACACAAATCTTATTTCTCTCAAATTATGTGCACAAATTTGTTTACATCCCTGTTAGTGAGCATTTCTCATTTGCCAAGATAATCCATCCACCTGACAGGTGTGGCATATCAAGAAGCTGATTAAACAGCATGATCATTACACAGGTGCACCTTGTGCTGGGGACAATAAAAGGCCACTTTAAAATGTGCAGTTTTGTCACACAACACAATGCCACAGATGTCTCAAGTTTTGAGGGAGTGCGCAATTGGCATGCTGACTGCAGGATTGTCCACCGGAGCTGTTGCCAGAGAATTGAATGTTCATTTATCTACCATAAGCTGCCTCCAACGTCATTTTAGAGAATTTGGCAGTACGTCCAACCGGCCTCACAGCCGCAGACCACGCGTAACCACGCCAGCCCAGGACAACCACATCCGGCTACTTCACCTGCGGGATCGTCTGAGGGGGGTGGGGGGTGGTGCTGAGGAGTATTTCTGCCTGTAATAAAGACCTTTTGTGGGGGAAAACTAATTCTGATTGGCTAGGCCTGGCTCCCCATAGGGCGGGCCTGGCTGCCAAGTGGGTGGGCCTATGACCTCCCAGGCCCACCCATAGCTGCACCCCTGCCCAGTTATGTGAAATCCATAGATTAGGGCCTAATCAATTTTCTTATTTCCTTTTATGAACTGTAACTCAGCAATACGTGTGAAATTATTGCATGTTGCGTTTATATTTTTCTTCAGTATAGTTATTTTTCATCAAACTGTCCCTTTTCTTTTTACGTCAGGTGGTCCAGCACCATCCTCAGACAGTTGCTTACATGTTCTGGTTTAATTCTCATTTCTGGATAAGGCCTACAAAACCCTGGGAAAGTAACCATCTCTTCCACTTTACTTCTGTATTATGTCCCCTAATCTTTTGAATGGGCTTGATGATTATATCATCAAATTCATAACAATGTGGTCATAAAAAAAAATATATATATACAATTATATTTGTGTTTGTAGATTAATTTACTTCTGCCAGATGCCTTTTATGAAGTTTCTGCGCTGAAGACCATTACGCTACGTTTTTGTCTATTGAATACCATTCAAAAAGCTTACAAAAGTTCAAAAACGACTTGCTGAAAAATGCATACTTGCATACCGTAAACAGGATAGCATCTTGCTATGTTACATGACTGTGCATAACACAAGGTACTACTCATGTAATTTATATGGCAGAACAACTGGTTTCTAATCAACCATTTAGGTCCAATAGGCTTATTTAAAATGGACATCCATCAATTATATCAAAGTATTTTGATCTCATTTTAAAAAATCTAATCTTTACGTTACCTGCTAACAGCTGACACAGATCTTGGCAAACGTCTTCTCATGGCAAGGGTTACAGTAGATGTCCGTGCCTTTGGTCAGGAAGCTTTGAGAGTGTATGTTGTTGTTTTTTGACAGTGGAAACAGGTGAAGCAGTCCTCATGCCACACGTGGCCTTTATACTCCACATCCTCAGAGCTTTTAGGAAAGGAAAATATTCACATCAGTCTCTAGGAAGGTTTAAAGGGGAAATCCTGCGATTAGTAAATCCATTTTGGGACTTTTAAATTGATGATGTATACCCATTGATTCTTGAAGAATATAACTTAGTTCAGCTGTCATTCCCCATCAGAACCCCAAATATAAGCTTGTTTTACTCAATTGGTTGTAAACAATATAATTGTAAACAAACACTACATACCCTCAAAACATCAATTTTATCGATGGTCAGTCCTTCCATCCTTTGCTCTGAAAGTGGTTACATTTCTCCAGCCCCATCCATCAGCTATTTACCAATACAGTGGCAGGGTGGCCCTTTGTTATTATTTGAACAGCAGATTGCCCCTTTAATGGAACTTAACTGTAATTTAAGAAAGCGTTTACTAATTACATCTAAGTTCACATAATGCAGAGTATCTAAAAAATTAAGCATAGTGGGTATAAATATCACTTGCTGAATTTCATGTTAACTCATATCAGTGACAGTGAGTCTTAGCCCATAGTGCCCCCTACCGGCAAAAATGGCTTTGTAGCAGGCGTGACAACGAGGGGCATCTTCTCCGGACCTACACTTCCCACACATGATGCCGTCATCCTTAGCACTGAAAGACTCCTTGGCTAGCGGCTTGTAGCACTTGTAGCAGCGAAAGCAGTCCGCGTGCTAATAGCGGCCCTTATGTTTCAGCTCCTAAAGGAAGGAAGGAAGGAAGGAAGGAAGGAAGGAAGGAAGGAAGGAAGGAAGGAAGGAAGGAAGGAAGGAAGGAAGGAAGGAAGGAAGGAAGGATGGATGGATGGATGGATGGATGGATGGATGGATGGAAGGGCAGGGAGAAGAAGGGAAGGGAAGAGGGAACGAGAGTAACTGTTTTCTTCCTCAGATGCTGTGTAGACAGTGTGCACTCATAAACACGTCCAGTCAGTCTAGTCATGAAAACACATGCTGACAGTTTGCAGGTAAAGACAAACCCATATGGAAACACACAAAAAAACATATTTACATGTAATATATATATATATATTTATATATACATTTAATGCCAGTATCTTAGACCAAAGTAACAAGGTAAACAGAGCTGGAGCATCCTTTATCTTTCTGGACATGAAAAGGGGCTTGGTGCTTTACCTCACCTTAACCCAGTGGTATTGAAACGTTTTCAGCGGGGACCTAATTTTTTTTGCCAATAATTTCTGCCAACCCCATCCCACCCCAAGTCTAATGAAACAACCTTAAAATCTGTCCATTTAAACAACAAAAAAATCAACAAATAACCTTCAATTCATTACATTTTGATTGTTCTTATTCAAATTAAGAGAACCAATAAATATATTTACTTAATAAAGTTGTATTTTTGAAATTATCTTTCTCCAAAACGTCTGTATTTTGTCCCATACAATAATCTGTGATTTATTTTTTATCTGGCTACACCACTGCAATTCACGACCCCAACTTTGAATACCACCGGATGAGGAAAATGTAATTGGAATTGGACTTTAACATCAGCTTGTGGTTAAAACAGAACTAAAGCAGAGCACAGCTTTCAGACACATGCACACAGCCACTTTAGCAGCTGGGCAAACAGGGTGGTATGTTGGCATCAGTGGAGGCTGCTGAGGGGTGCACAGCTCATAGTAATGTCTGGAACAGAGCACATGGAATGGTATCAAACACCTGGAAACCATGTGTTTGATACCGTTAAACTTATTCCACTCCAGCCATTACCATGAGCCCGTTCCTCCCCAATTAAGGTGCCACCAGCCTCCTGTGGTCGGCATGAGTTTATCACTAAAGAATGTGGATGAAAGCTGAGAAGCAAGACGTCTGTAGACTGGTGGCACAGTCTGCTTCATGCTGTCAACAGTCTGCAAAATCTACTGAACTATTCTCAGAAACTGCCTATAGTCTAGTCCACACAGAAATACACACTAACCCTTACAACATTATACTTTTACTAAACTTAGACATGGGCCAGATGTCTATCAGCAGCTGACGGACACAAACCGATATGGGCCTTTTACAACGGGCTCTGTATGGCATCTGTGTCATCATAAGTTATGGTCACTTTCAAGAGGTAAGTACCCAAGAGGCCAAAACAGGCCATGTGTCTTAGTGAGACTCAATTTATGTACTTTCTGGTATCTCAGCCAACGCCCCAGCCAACTCAACACATTATTGCATATAGGCTTACAGTATTTATTTAAGTCTATAATTGTTTCAAATGAAATATAATTCGGTGTTTACAGAAATATCACATCTATTAAAGTAGGCATAGGCCTTTTATGAACGCTGGTGATGAGTTAACTGACGTCGCCAGAGTGGGTAGGCTATGGAATCCTGGACCCAATTCATTGGCAAACTGCAAACTATTAATAATAGGCTTGTTAAAAGGGGTAATGTAGCCTAGTGCTGATTCTAGCATAAAGCAGACATGAAATGCAATATTCTAAGGTGCAAATCAGAAACAGCCTAATATCAAATCAAATCAAATTGTATTTGTCACATACACGTGTTTAGCAGATGTTATATCGGGTGTAGCGAAATGCTTGTGCTTCTAGCTCAGACAGTAATATCTAACAATTTCACAACATATACCCAATACACACAAAACTAGTAAGGAATGGGATTTAAGAATATATACATAAATGGACAAGCAATGACAGAGCGCATTGACTAAGATACAGTAGAATATTATAGAATAGAATGCAGTATATACATATGAGATGAGTAGTGCAAGATATGTAAACATTATTAAAGTGACTAGTGTTCCATTTCTTAAAGTGGCCAGTGATTTCAGTAGGCAGCAGCAGCCTATAATGTGCTAGTGATGGCTATTTATCAGTCAATATTGCCATGTATTATATCGAATGACTAACTGTACATTCGTGTTTACATAGCTTTTACATTTACAATTTAGGCTACTCGAAAAACATACCTCGCCAATAGCTATACAAGTCGTTTCTAATGTCCTTGTATTCATCAATTCCGACACAAGATTCAGATCTGTCCATGCAATTTACCAAGTTCAAAGAAAGTTATGTTGGACGCGCGCACGAACTCCCCGATATACACAAGCGCCACTTTTCTTCTGAACAGGATATAGCCTACTACAGTAAATGTACCCTACAAAAGACCAAACCACTCGTCCGGAGTCAAGACATCAGGGGGAAAAAATCAGGACTGGATACGACTGCCTTCGAATCAACGCAACAGTATTGCATTTCAACGCAGAATATTATTGGCCAAGACTTGAACGAACTTCAATGAACGATTAACCACTTACTGGTGTGAAATGTTGGTTGATCAGTCCATTTAAATGTGGCTACCACTATTCTTTACACGTTTAATACTGAAAGGAAGTGTTTGTGAAATACAACAAGTTAAAGTTATAACATACTTGTAAATAAATACAAAACAGTGAGATGGATTTGGTACTTGAAACAGAAAAAAAAGAATAATCCAAAATTAATGTTGTAGCCCAAGAGGAACATTTATTTTTATTCACGTTAGATTGACATATTTAGAATTGAGGCTACTGTACATTGAGACTGTGCATAACTTTGTCAACTACAAATGAGTAATAGAGATCTAAGATTGTCTCTCCCCACATCCAATTTAACTATATTTTTTTGAATTCACACAAAAACAAAACTATTCACAAAATAAAGCTACATCAATATCATACACCCAAATACTGTTGGAACAAGTAAAGGCTGCCTCACCTTTTCAGGTTCAATTTGCTGCTACTTTAACAACTGACCTTTAAGTTACTATGCTAAATATCAGAGCAGAACAACAATCCCATTTACAGATTAGTTCCAGTTAGACTATATGAACCATTGCATTCATAACATGTGGTTACTCTAGCTACTGTCGGTGGTAGGGTTGCATTGTAGTCAGGTCGTTCAACATAAGTTCGAGTGGCTCAATCTAAATAAAGATTACAATGCAAACAAATTATATGTAATAAAGCGCAAAAATCAAAATCTGTTCATAGTTTCTGCCCACCTGACTGAGAAAGAAAGGCAGGTATAATTCTTTGAAAACCAAAACTAATCCTGCATAGCAGGAGCTCAGGGAGTGACAGTTCCAGCTAGCTGTCTTGGAGCCCATACACACATTAAGCCCGACTGGACTGAGTCCATAGACAGCAGCTCTGTACGGTATTGTACCAAACCCTTCACCACAGCTTTCTGCTCAGGTCGTTAGATTCAGTATCAAGGCATCTGCTTATAGATAAGGGCCTTGTAGTGAACAGAGCAAGAGTGGAGTTATAAATCTCCAGACTTATAAATCTGCTTATGAACATTTCACTATTTCATTTAAAGTAATGACATATCTTAATAATTTCCACCTGCCTTCATTTGCAAATGGATATTAATACATTTGTGATCTACAACTAATGAATATTACAATTTACGGTAAAAGGTTCATAGTACAATATCACATTGAATTCCGCAGGGTCTTGGTATAACACTGAGCAGGGTTTCAAGTTATAATAATCCCAATTATTTACTGTAAATTATTAATGAATATGTACAAATCTGCATACATTAAAAAAAATATATATATATTCATTAGGCACTTGTTTAAAACAGTTCAGCCTCCTAGATCCCTCAATACAAACGCCTCTGATTTAAATAATGACCCTCACGTCAGGCAGTAGCAGTCAGGTAGGAGAACTGAGCGCAACTTATTATTCAGAACTTACTAGCAACTAAAATACACCCTAAACTATTCGCGCAACATAAAAACCACCACTGAAATTCATATTTATGTTTCTGTGTTTTGAAAAAGGAACAAGCATGGCTCTTGAAACCACCAAAAATTCCCTATGGGGTAAGAGCAACAATGAAAACCTCAACATACAAATAAATAAGAGTAAATTAATAAATATAGGATGTACTTTTTAAAATATACAAATACATGAATGGACAGAGAGGAGAAAGAGGCAGGCATGGGTAAAGACCACAACACAACCCATTTTGCTTTTCAAAGCAGGGGTTGTTCAAGACCAAGGGATGGCTAGACAGAAAAAGGGAACCCTTGGCCTCTAGAGTCTGTTGCGTCTGGGATCGGAGAAGGGATCTGAAAAGGGATCGGAGAAAGGCGGAGGGGAGGTGGGGGGAGGGGGCAGGGTCAAAGTGGGTTCAAGGGGGTCGTCCATGGGCAGGACCAGACGTGTTCCTCTGATGACCAGTTCATGCTCCCCAAACGCCAGCTCCTGGTCCAGGGCCTCCTCCGAGGTCACACCCATGGTGGAGGCAGACAGGTGTTTATGGTTGGTGGTGCGGGCGCCCGAGGCATCGGTGCTCACTGTGACGTCACCATACATGGTTGCATTGCCGTCATTCAGGACCAGTTCGTCAGAGTCATCATTGTGCTGGTGCCCTTCATTCTAGAGAGAGAAGGAATCATGAACCACTACCATTACCTGTGTGTGTGTGTGTGTGTGTGTGAGAACACTCACCTCATATGCCTGAGTGCTGGTGAGACAGCGTGCCAAGGGGCCACAGCAGGCAGGCAGGGTGGCTGTGAGGGGTGGGCCGCTGTGAGTCAACAGGGGTTTCAGGTAGCTGGAGAAGGCTGCAGTCAAGGGATCTAATCCTCAAGGGACTCTAAACACTGTTATAAACCGGGTAGTTCGAGCCCTGAATGCTAATTGGCTGATAGCCGTGTTATATCAGATCGTATACCACAGGTATGACAAAACATTTATTTGTACTGCTCTAATGAAGTTGGTAACCAGTTTATAATAGCAATAAGGCACCTCGGGTGTTTGTGGTATATCGCCACTATCCCACGGCTAAGGGCTGTATCCAGGCACTCTGCGTTGAGTTGTGACTACAAACAGCCCTTAGCAGTGGTATATTGGCCATATACAACACCACCTTGGGCCTTATTGCTTAATTATAGTGGTCTGAACCCAATCATCATTAATAAAGGAATAACCTCTATAAAGGCATTTAGTGCCTTGTCATATTTTCATTGAGGAATGTGTCTCACATGAACTGACTTGCCTTCACTTTGCAAAGGAAATTCATAGGAGTGGCCTCTAGTGTATAATTAAGCAATAAGGCCCGAGGGGGTGTGGTATATGGCCAACGTACGACGCAACGCGGAGTGCCTGGATACAGTCCTTAGCCGTGGTATATTGGCCATATACCACAAACCCCGAGGTGCCTTATCTATGAACGTTTGAACATCTTGGAGAAAAATCTGCCCTTAATGGCCATGTACTGTTATAATCTCCACCCGGCACAGCCACAAGGGGACTGGCCACCCCTCAGAGCCTGGTTTCCTCTCTAGGTTTCTTCCTAGGTTCCTGCCTTTCTAGGGAGTTTTTCGTAGCCACTGTGCTTCTACATCTGCATCACTTGCTGTTTGGGGTTTTAGGCTGAGTTTCTGTTTAGCACTTTGTGACATCTGCTGATAATAATGTTTACATATCTTGCACTACTCATCTCATATGCATATACTGTATTCTATACTATTCTATAATATTCTACTGTATCTTAGTCCATGCCGCTCTGTCATTGCTTGTCCATATATGTATATATTCTTAAATTCCATTCCTTACTAGATTTGTGTGTATTGGGTATATGTTGTGAAATTGTTAGATATTACTTGTTAGATATTACTGCACTGTCGGAGCTAGAAGCACAAGCATTTCGCTACACCCGCTATAACATCTGCTAAACACGTGTATGTGACAAATAAAATTTGATTTGATGTAAAAAAGGGCTTTATGAATACATTTGATTGATTGATTGATTGGTATTATAAACTGGTTACCAACGTAATTAGAGCAGTAAAAATAAATGTTTTGTCATACCCGTGGTATATACAACGGCTGTCATCCAATCAGCATTCAGGGCTCGACCAACCCAGTTTATAATGTTTAACATTGCATCCTGCACTGCCCTATACTGTGCATATAATCACCATTGAATAGTGTTTCCTCAATGGTTGGTCCAAGTTGAAGACTGGATTGTTATGGCTTCATATAATGACTCACAACCACATTCTAAAGGCTTTGGGTGTGTGACATGTTGCAAATAAAGGATACGTATTGTCGAAATTGTACCATATTCTGAAAGGCCAGGCACTCTCGTGTTTGGTGTTCCTACGTTGCGTTCCATCCGAAACAGTCACCTGCTCAAAGACATAAAAGTGATGTGTTGAGAAGACACATAAGAGCATGTGACTTCTGTAATACCATAACGGTACAACAGCAATCTCCAATTGTGCACTATTCGTATTCCTTTGTCCACACAATGCTACCCTGTAAACTGACTTCTGCTGTCCTTTAGAAGCAAATTTCAGAATCATGAACAATCAGATGGTTGGTTACTTACTGAGCTGTCTTGGTCCGAGTCCACTCCCACACTAGCACAAACACAAGGATGAGAATGTGTAAGAAGAACATACAGTAGAGCTATTTATCCATCCATCTATATCGAGGCATGATGATCAAACTAGTGGTGAAAGTTGTGACATCTAGGTGAGACTCACTGTATGCTCATGAAGGAGAGCATTGGGGTGGTGCCGCCTCCACACACCCACACAGTGAAGAAGACGATCAGGAGGGTGGTGGAGAACATCATCTGCCGGGCATACGTGGCCGTGTCCCGGATGGAGAGGGCAAAGGTCATAGCCCCCCGCAGGCCTGATCAACAGATATCAGAGAGGACAGTGAATTCAGAGAAAACTACACAAACAACAACAAACATGATCTACAGACATCATCAATCATTCAACTCCTTCTAGTACATGACAACTATAGACAGCCTCCTACCTGCAAACATCATAACATGTTGGAAGTTAGACCCAATTTTGTTCTTACGGCCCAAATTGAGCAAGAAAGAGAGGGGGTAGATGTTGGCTGCCCTGCCAAGGAATACTGCAATCTGGTAGGGGACAGCAGTAAAGGAAAGTGGCTTCTGGATGGGAAAAACTACATCCAGTTATAATTTAAGACATTACACTGGCTGTATAAAAAAGAAAAAACACCTCTCTCTCTCCCTCTCTCTCTTTTTAAGGATACAAATGCTCCAATGATGAACAAGGGATTGAACACATGGGACTGGAAGGAGAACAGCGTCAGGCCCATATAGGAAAATATGAAATTCTCCGCCAGGAAGTTCAGGAGCTCAAATAGCTTTGGGACGAGAGACAAAAACAATATCAACGAAAACAAAGTATTTAATATTAAAATGTTAGGCCAGGCATAGCCTAACAACAACCAACAGCATGGTTAAGACAAATAGACTGGTATGTGTTCCAGTACCTGTTTGGTCCTGTCCTGGGAGTCAGGAGAAAGGTTGTTGAAAGTGTAGTGAGCTTGGGTCATCCCACAGAACAACACGGCTACCACACCTGAACGAGGAAGTCCACACAGATCAGCATGTGTTGGGGACTCACCTATGAAAGGTAAGCTTGAAACCGTGTGTGTACGTGTTTGTGTAAACGCTGCATTAGTTACCAGTCATTTCACAGGCCTCAGCCAGCAGGAAAGTGCTCCAGGACATGAGGAAGAACAGGGCCGTCTCCAGCAGGGGGAAATCACGCAGCTTGGTGAACTTGGTGACGTGAGGAGCGACAGGTCAAGGAACAGACAGAGAACTTCAATCCATCACAGAAACATCCCAACATTCAGGATGAGATAACACCATAACATAGCAAACGCGTTACTTCTGGAGAATAGAAGCTGTAATGCTTTAAACCCCAAGTTGCCTAGATAAAGCAGATTAGCAGACTTTCAATTTCAATCTATGAAATTCACAGGCTTTTCTTTTGAATGAATGCCATCGTCTGGCACGAAGGTGGCGAAAGGATATCAGTGCAGTCATGACGCCGGTGGCCACACCGAGGGCGAAGGATCCACTGAAGACCCCAAGGAACACACCAAAAGACTTGATCATGGCTGTGGCGTCGAAGGTGTGGCTGTTGTCCCCGGCTGGCTGGTAGGCACCTATGGAGCTGTAACCAGTGCAGACACATGGAGCCAAAGACAGGTGTAAGAGTCAGGAGGCTCTACTACTAACAACTCACATGTTTGCAATGCAAAAGTAAAGGGAAAACGTGAAGAAATCAGTAAGATATAGTATCCCTGCAACATCTGTACATGGGTCGTTCCACAAAATAAGTCCCCTTTGTGTCCCTTTTATATTTTAAGTAGAAATTGTGCACCAATATTGAATTCTAAATGTTATAATAAATGAAGTGCCCTTTAATATAGACCACATGGAAAATTCCATAAATGTGAATCAAGACTTTCTAAAGTGCCAAGATTCTGCATTTTGACATGTCCCTCTGTGACTTCTAGGAAGATTTTAGCCCACTTAACCCAAACATTTCTCCCAACTTTTCACCGTCATGGTAAAGCCCTAGTTATTTTGTTGCTTTGACAAAGTCATTTCAGAAAAGTATTATTTATTTCATGTGATTAGTGATTCATTTGAAAGTAACTGTCCAGTGTTTCCAGATTTCCATTAAATATGACCTATAATTAATTACAATATGAGTGAAATAGTTTAAAAAAAATAAAAAAAGAGATAATTAAGTATACTAAACAAAAATATAAAATCAACATGTAAAGTGTTGGTCCCATGTTTCATGAGCTGAAATAAAATATCCCAGAAATGTTCCATACGCACAAAAAGCTTATTTCTCAAAAATGTTGTGCACAAATTTGTTTACATGCCTGTTAGTGAGCATTTGTCCTTTGCCAAGATAATCCATCCACCTGACAGGTGTAGCATATCAAGAAGAAGCTGATCAAACAGCATGATCATTACACAGGTGCACCTTGTGCTGGAGACAATAAAAGGCCACTCTAAAAAATGTGCAGTTTTGTCACACAACACAATGTCTCAAGTTGTCTCAAGTTGAGGGAGCGTGCAATTGGCATGCTGACTGCAGGAATGTCCAGCAGAGCTGTTGCCAGATAATTGAATGTTCATTTCTCTACCATAAACTGCCTCCAATGTCGCTTTAGAGAATTTGGCAGTACGTCCAACCAGCCTCACAACCATGGCTGCGCCCCTGCCTAGTCATGTGAAATCCATAGATGAGGGCCTAATGAATTTATTTAAATTGACTGATTTCCTGTTATGAACTGTAACTCAGTAAAATCTTTGAAATTGTTGCGTTTATATTTTTGTTCAAAATATGTTAAAAAGCATATTTTCTGTGTTAGAATGGTGTAGACGTTAAAATGTCAGTCGCGCTGTCGCTCCCGCTCACCTCACTTTTACAAGTATACATTCTTCCTTAAAAAGAGCGTGAAGGGCAACGTGCCGAGTGACCTCACTCATATTATCATAGAACTGGGGTTACGTTAAGTGACCTAACGTTTTATTTCAAATAATAGTTTGGTCACTCAGTATTGGACATCGACAACTCCCGTAGATCTCGCTTATACCCTCCGAAGCCAGGAAGTCTAGACAGACTCAACTCTGAGGTCCCGACTCCCAGCACACCTGTGCCGCCAAGATCGGTAAAACCTATGGAGAAATAAGGGGGAGTACCCCTAAATGTCGCATAAATCTCTTTGAACAGAGATTCCATAAACCATGCTCATGACGCAACCACACCTCTGGTGGAATAAGCTCTGAAGCCCTCCAGAGGTGGTCAACCCAATGTCCTATAATAATCTACACTTATCCAAAGGATAAACACTTGGCGAGAAATGGGTCTCCCTGCGTGGGGAGGTGCCAAAAACGGGGCTCTCGTCCTGTCCATGTAGAAGCACAAAACATGCACAGGACACAAGCAGTGGAAACACTGTTCCTCCATGGAGAAAAACAGAGGTAGGCACAAAAAAGGGTTTAGGTTGAAGTAACCTTGGATAATCCCAGGGCAAGGTACAGGCACGAGTGGTGAAACTGATAGTGCGTACGGCTCACTCACTCGCTTTGTGGATGCAATGACTAAGGAAAGAGGTATTAAATGAAAAATCTAATTTCCACGCTTTCGAGCGGCGGCTGTGAAATGGCCTCAAGCACAACAGAAAGATCCCATGATGGGACTGGCTGTTAGGGTACTGAGCGTAGGCGACGCGCGCCCTTCATACAGCAGGCGGAGATGGCAGCCAAATACACCTTTATAGTGGAAAAGGCTTTTCCCTTGTCCAAAACGTCCTGTAGAAGCAGAGTATCTCTGGAACGGAGCAAAGAAAGGGAATGCTGCGTTGGTGATTCCTCTTTCAAACACACGCCACTTATTGTCATAGAGCAGCGAACGTGTGGAAGGGGCAGTAGGCCTGTCGCATTAGGATTCATCCTTTCACGGGCCAGGCCCAAAGAGCCACCATATCCGGACAGGGATGGAAATTCTCAGTTCGCTGGGGTCAGCATATCCCTGCGTAACGGTAGCTTCCAGGGTGTAGGCGAAGTACGCCTGCCTGTGGCTGAAAACTTCTATACTGTATAACAGTGAGCCTGACAGGGCCCATAAGCCTGGAGATTTAGGCATGTAGAACGCAATTTCTCCTTAAAGCAACTTTACTAGAGGGAGTGTACCGTCGTTGTATCGCTCCTGCACCAAAATAAGCTGTCTGATGACAGCTAGGCTCTCCCACGGTGGGGAGGCTAGACATTAATATCAGTTATAGCAAGAGTGCACATGCAGGGGAGCAGAGTGGAAGATCTGTTAGAGGCATAACCCTTGGAAGCACATGCAAAATGTGTTCTGATTGTCCCATAGCCACCGAGCCATTATGGTACCCATGTAGTGAATGGCGGGGCAGGGAAATGAGCCCGGGACGCTGATGTGAGAACAACACTAAGCATAGTGTCCAATTGTGGCTATCGAGACGGGCACCTGCTGCGTCTAACAGTCTGGGAGTTCGTCTGCTAGATGTGGGGAGCAAACGCGCCCAAACGGTTGCGGGTCACCAGTGCAGTCAAAACCCTATCCTAGGATAGAGTGGAATTGACGCAAATCTTTGCTAGTCAGCGGGGTGTGTAGGTGCTCTCGTATGCCTGAGACAAGGATGACCTCTGGTGGCGTAGCGACGAGTCACTAATAAGGAGCTATGTGCCCATGACAAGGTGCCTGGATGCAACAGAGAAGGTTTATGAAGAGGAACGGGGATAGCGCTTGAGGGCGACTGATGTTCTGTCGTCCTACTCCTGGCTGACCTAAGCAGACACAGAGGGAGAGCGAACAGATTGTCTTCCGCCATTGGCTGAAATAATCAAGTGGGAGGGCACTCGGGTGAGCGAAGTCCAACTCCCAATTGTACCACTGTTTTTAGCGAGGTCAATATATGAGCTGCTGTATCGTGGATTGGTAGAACAAAACAGAGAAATTCCTCCAGTACCACCACCACCGGGTGAGGAGAGATGTCTACGCTGAACTGGAGACAGGAGCACGCTGCCCCTCTCACAAGCTAGGGATCGAGTCCTAGGATCTCTAGTCATCCTGGCCACCAGGGGGCTTGGGAGGGCAGAATTTTGCTGTGACTGCAGCGAAGGACTGCTTACCTCCAGGTCTGCCCTGGTTCAGGGGTTTACCCTTGCTATATAAATCACAAGGCTCTGCGGGGGGTAAAAAGCTATATATTTATGGAGGCAAAGTGCTATAAGTACGGGGTGGGAACAGTGCTTGGTGGAGACTGAATTTTACCCGTCCAGCCTCCGCTTGACCCTAAAGCGATACCGAGGGGAGAGCTTTAGCTAGCATCAGCTAGACTGTCTTAATGCCGACCCGTGGACCGGATCATAGAATGGCGACCGGATCAAACAGTAAGTACAAAGCAACTGGGTGCTAGACAAATTATGTATGAGGGTTAAGTTAGTAATAACAAGACAGTATTTAGCTGGCCTGTTGGCGTTAGCCGGGAGGGCTGGTAGCCTAGCTTGAGTTAGCACAGATCGGTTCTCAGTAACGCCATACAATACTACGCGGGACTCTGGGTCACTGACGGCTGCCTAGGCATGTTAACTAGGTTAAGCGTGTGCTAGATGACGCTAAGCCATGAGGTTCTCATAGTTGATATTAGCTAGCCAGTGTTCACCCAATGCAGTGGGTTACTGTGCTGGCTATAGCTAGCACCATGTTTGCAGAGGAGAGCTGTGTTGCTATTCAGTCTGGAGAGCCTCTTTTGACCGTAGTACCGTGCAGTTTTAGCCGTAGCTAGCAGGCAATTCCAGGAATTTCAGTGCTTGGCTGCTAGGTCGCCCAGCACAGGGGAAAAACTGTAGCCATAACTCTGGGAGAGATGGTTCTGTCACCCGGGTTATACGTAGGCTACTCAAAGCCTGAGCATGGGGTCGTACAGTTCAGCTAGCTAGTGGTAGCCTAGTGGGCTAAACACCTAGCTTTAGTTTGCACTTTGTTAGCCGGAGAGCATCATGTCGCTCTACAGGCTGAAAATTGGTGAGCTAGCTGGTTAGCTTCAACTTGTTGGGAGCTCCAGCAGTCGACACAGATGGAATGTGTCCCTCCCTGACATAAAAAGACCCACACGGGCAAGACGCTGGTCTTGCCCTGTGGAAGGGGTAGAGGTAGCCATAGGTCCGGTATGGCAAACCCGGGCTATGTATGTGTTGTTTGACGCTTGGCCGTGTAGCTAGCTAGTCTTGTCGTTAGCTATATAGCGTTCACCCAGTGGATTAGTAGTCTAGCTATTGCAGCACACTGGGAAGAGGTAGCCATAACTCTGTTGGAGTAAGCTACAAGCCTGGGGCTATAAGTCTGGTTGTAGGTGGTACGCAGTAACTTGAGAGCACCAAGTGGAGCGTTGCTCTATAGGCTAGAGAATCACCCACGACCGCAGTACCAAAAGGTAGGACCGGTCAGCCTAGCCAGCGAGGGCACTGGTAAGTAGGTGGGGAGAAGAATGCTACCCTGTAGGTAGAGAGAGAGAGCTAGCTCTAGTCATGTGCGCTGACGCTTAGCTGTGTTGTTGCTAGCTAGTCCTGGCGTAGAAAGCTAGTGTTCCCCTTCAAGGGTTAATCACTCTGGTGCTAGCACACTACTAGCTGAAGAGAAGATGCATTCTTCGTGAGCTAGCTGGGTTAGCTTCGCCTGAAGCGAGAGTTAGCAAAGTCTCAACTCTCTTCCTTCCTCCACCTCAATGGGAATAAGAAGCACAAAGTGGTAGCTAGGTGGGCTGGTAAGGGCAAAGCTAGTCATGTGAAGCTATCTCGCCAGAGGAAAGTTTTACACTCCGGTAAAATGTTCATCCTCTCAACAAGTAGCGGAATTCCTACGCTCGGCAGCGAAACCTCACGGATTCGCCTATGAACAGTTTAGCAGGAAAGCAGTAGTCCGAGTCGATGCTGAGGAGAGTATGAAAAACTATTACGACCTCGTAAGGAAGAACAAAAGTGAGGTGAGGGAGCGACAGCGCCTTATAAAGGAGCGGGGTCCCCACTATTGGCTGTCGCTCCTGTCTGTCTATGATAGACGTTGTGTGATAGGAGTTCCTTATTGACCAAGCCCAACGAAGGCGTTACCCATACTGAGTGACTATTTAAAATAGAACTCTCGTTTTAATATGGTGACACATTGAATTAATAGTCAAATCATAGTGTAAAAGCAGGTGAGCTGTTAATAATATTTTTCGACATTTTCTGGTGTTTTGTGGTGAAAAACTGAGTGGGTCGAGCATAACACGTCAACCTTGTTACCCATAGATAGACAGGGAAGACATTTTATTATCAATGTAAAAAGATATTGTGAAGCTTACATTCTCCTGATGCACACAACAAGCTTCCATTCCCCTGTAACAAGGGGATTTATGGCCAATGTAAGATGAAATCATCAACCCTGTTACTTTATTTGGCACTTACTATAGTAGTTTTTTTTCTCTCTCCACCAAGTTACACTACCCAAAAGGGACTCATTTCGTGGAACGAACCCACATCTTTTGTATTTACAGCACAAAAGTCTGGGGAGGTGCTTACCATGTCTACATAGCTAGCAGCTATGCCTACCACACAGTTATAAGAGCCTCTCCTTCCAAAACTGAGGGGGAAATTATCATTGGTGAAACAAATCCCAACCTATAGGAACCCAACTCCACTCCACACAGGTCTCTTGATCATTTAATGGTGTGAGAACAGATTGATTAAAAGGTCTGACTTGGCATAGGCTAATTTAATTGCTAATTGAGATGCTAATTAAGAAATATGCTGATTGTAAACCCCACAAGGACTGCAGTTGGGTTCCACACACTCTAAACGACCAGGACAGCAAATAGCCTGCACAGCAAAAAAGAGCAAAACTGAGAAAGTTTAGAGAACTATACACACTGAAAAAAATTAAAAATAATCAACCAACACGTAGGCTACACCCGTTCTACACGAACAGCAAATCACCAGCGCATACTCCCTTACAAGAGGAATTATGTTTTCCACAACGCCCACTTTTAACCCTGGTATTTACTATAAATAAGTACACAAGGTACCAAAAACAACGCCATCTGCTGTGCTGAGCAGGTCTTCAGTAGGGGTCACAACATAAGAACAGTCCATTGTTGTAACCACTTAGGCCCTACTCAAGGACCTGTTTTCATTAGCTGGTCATTTGCTGAGCCTACAGTAACCTAAAGTAGCAGGAGGAATGGGGTATAGTAAAGCTGGGTGAGGCAGACTATAACCATAGCCCACCTAGGGGGGCTCCCCTGTTCCTCTACCAATGCTGTGGTCTCTCCATGGCCATGCTGGGCCTGCCTGCTCTGCTTTTCGTAATGCAGAAGAACTCTGTATACAGGTGCCCAGTAAAATGTGAGTGGGTGGGGTTAGTGTCTGCACAAAGTCAACACATCTCCAAACACCAATGAAAGTGACAGGATTGGACAACATAGACAAGAAGATGAGGAGAGGTGCTCGATGTGATGTTACTGTGTGTGGTGCTCATTGACATGTTGAAAAGGACGGAGACTTACGAAGACAGGACTATGGCCACAGCGTCGTTGAGTACACTCTCTCCAAACATCAGGGCGTACAGGTCCACATCCACCTTCAGCTCGTTGAATATGGCAAGTACTGTCACTGTGGGAGCAACAGCAGGAACGTCACATACTTACACTCCATATGATTGCAATGAAGGCTAACCCGAATGCTTAAAAGCAATGAAGGCTAACCCGAATGCTTAAAATAGCCAAGACAAAGGCTAAAGTAGTTCATAAAACTGTTAAATGGAGTTGACAGCTAAAGCATATTATAGCACTGTGTACAGAATTGGCCCCTCAAACTCAACTCTAGACTTCGAAGCCAGTTCCACTGCTTTTTTTTCATTGTTCCCCTATAAAGGCTTCAGCATGCTTCGATTCGGCTAGGTGAACTGAACGCGTTTGCTCGCATACTCCCTTAAAAAGATCTTCGCTTGAACATTTTGAAAAAGTGGCAATAGTACTGTTTGTCCATCTTGAGACGCCGTAGCCAGTATACACTTCCTCAAAAGTCTGACGTTTTTGCCAAGAAGATCTTAGTCGCGCAATTTTACATATAACAGATGTCTGGTGCAGTAATTCTCAAGTGAAATAATGTGCATGACGATGAGTTGTCTCTTATTGAATGACAACAAACACTTAATTGAAGAATTCCTACTGTTGACCAATCACTTCGGCTACCAACTTCGGCTTACCTCGAGAGAAAAAGATTGTGCGCATGAACAGCCGAAAAAACCCTTGCCGAAGACCAAAAACGTCACAAAATGCTGTCATAATATATGCACGAACTGTTCCGAACTGATTCGGATGGGAAGCATGTGGACGTCTTAATCAGGCACTGATTTAGACCCGGGACACCAGGTGGGCGTAATTAATTATCAGGTAGAACAGAAAACCATCAGGCTCCGGACCTCGTAGGGTAAGAGTTGAATAGCCCTGGTATAGGCTATGCTAGTCAGGGCGGGGATGATTACCTGGGTCTGTGGCTGAGACAATGGCACCAAAAAAGAGGCAGTCAGTAAAGAAAAAGTCCCCTCCCAACTGCCCAACCGCCTTCATTAATGTCACACAGCCATACATAACCAGCCTGTAAGAGAAAAGAGAGTGATTAATCACGAAAGCAGAACAAAAAAAGACCATGATTAGGAGGAATTTCACGAAATTTGATCCATAGAAGGGTCCTTTGTAGAAATAGGTATCTAAAAGCATAATTGAGAAATAATTGATCAAAGTTTACATATTTATGACCCAGGCCTCCTTTAAGACTCCATAATGTTTCACTCAAGACCGTGATTAGTTCATAATTCCAACAGGTTTGAATCTTTTAGTTTATGACAAATCACCCACAAATGTATGTCTCCTTCAGTGGTTCCCAACCAGGGGTCCAGGGACAATTGACAGGGGGTACTTGAGAAGACTCATGAGACCATAGGCCTACTGGTAAAATGCACATGAGGATGTACTTCAGGGGTATTCCGGGCACAGCAAAATTCTGTTGTTGGTACAGTAACCAAAAAAGGTTGGGAACCACCGTGCTACAACACAAAGCTGAAACCACTCCAAAATAACCACAGTGTTTCCCCTATATTCATTTAGCAGCGCCAACTGAGGTAGAAAGAACACCTGTATCTTTGTAGTGACTGGGTGTATTGATACAACATCCAAAGTGTAATTAATAACTTCACCATGCTCAAAAGGGCTATTCAATGTCTTCTTTTTTTTTTTTTTTACCCATCTACCAATACGTGCCCTTCTTTGCGAGGCATTGGAAAACCTCCCTGGTCTTTGTGGTTGAAATTCACTGCTCAACTGAGGGACCTTACAGATAATTGTTTGTGTGGGGTACAGAGATGAGGTAGTCCTTCAAAAATCATGTTAAAACACAATTATTGCACACAGAGTGAGTCCATGCAATTTATTATGTGACTTGTTAAGCACATTTCTACTCCTGAATTTATTTTGGCATGGCATGCCATGTATGCCAATTCAGCTTTTATAGTGCCTTATAGACTTTAAAAAAATTGCTAAACATCATTCCACGTCAAGGGTGTGAATGCTTTCTATAAGGCACTGTAAAAGCTGAATTGGCATTCATGGCATAGTCGTGGCATAGTTGTGGTATAGTCATGGCATGGGGCCCCTATTGATTTTGTTATACTGTTTGAGTCAGTCAGATAGCAGAAGAACACAGCATAACCAAAGGCAAAATGTGTAGAATTGCACGAAATTTACTTTAAAATGGTAATATTTTCCCTCTGCCTCATGGCAAAATGTGTAGAATTGCAGGAAATTAGCTTTAAAACATCAAAGACTGTCATAGGCCACACCCATTTATATGCCCCCCCCCCCATGCCAACTTTGCCACCACTGCAAAAAAAAATCCTAGTTGAAACACTGAACCACGTTTTTGACCGTTTTAAAGAAATGGGCTCACCCAATGACAAAAGATGATATGACTGTCCCCATGAAAGCATAGGCAAGGATGGACCCCAGGTTCCTGAAGAAATGTCGCTGAAACACAATGGAGGTGTAGGGGAGACAACAAAATAGTATTCCAGTTTAGTACACCAGAATTAATACAGAATCCTTTATTATGGTGCAGGCACACAGTCTTCAAGCCATGAATGGTAGTGTATATGATTGTTGGTAGTGTAGAGTGGAGGTGTAGGGTGTAAAATCATGAAGTGTCTTACCCGCTTCAAGCTGTAGCCAGCATGGAAGATGATTGGAGGCAGCAAGATGTTGAAAAACACTTCAGGGTCAAAGGTCACCTGACAGAAAATAAAGAAAAGTTAGATAACTAATAAACCCACACTGCAACAATCTATACACTACCATCTGATCACCTATTTTCTGTGAGTGGTTGTCTTTGCCGAATCACTCCTCTGCAGGCAGCTCAAAGCTTATCAGACAACATCCAGCCCATGTTTATGGTTGTAGGCTTTGTCAAAAAAGTATTAAATAGCTCCCTTTCCTCCTCTTCATTCATTACTGATCTGGAAAGACTTGATGGGTAAAAGCAATATGATGACTATCAAGTCTTTTCAGCCATCAGTGGTCATGATGGGAGACAGTGAAAGGAGACCATTTCAGAGTAGACTACTGTCCAGGTCTAGGACCATCCAGTCTGCTGGCAATATGTGTGTAAGTTGAGAGTGAGTGAAAGAGTAATGTACCTTCCTGAGCATCTCATCATCCTGCACGTCATGCCCCTTAACAGTGCTGACTTCACCCTTCAGTGTGTACTCATAAAAGCGCCCGCTGACATTGACCAGAAGAGTTGCTGGGCTGGCATTCACACTGCAGTTCATAGTCACATTGTTCATATTTCGTGGCACATGAACACCAAAACGAAGGATCACCCCCACCAGCAGACCTGAGGAGCGGACAGAGATAGAGGTCAGTCAGACATGCAAACATACAAGATGCAAAGAGGTGTCAAATACATCTTATCAAGAAATAACAAGTACAAGTTAATATGGGCATAATGCATGAAAGTCAAGGCATGCTATTTCATTGCCATCTTGCAACGCTGTGGCATGAACTGGAGAATGTAGTTCACTCAAGTGTTGTCATTCTGAATTATATAGCTAACGTTAGCTAGAAAGCTACTATAGCTAGCTACAGAGTTCACGACGGTCCTCACCATAGATCATAGCCAGTCCTGTTTCGTGTAGAAACCTGAAGCGACGGTGTTTAAACAGCCAAATGGTTAAAATAGTGAGAGTTAAGAGCATTATGAATATAAGAAGGTTGGCACTGTCTTGTCTATGGCTTTCCTCAGCCCTCCTCTCAGTAGCAACATTGTCCATAGCAGTATTCTCGCCTTGACTGCCCACTAAAAGAAATGTAAACAGACAAGGTAAAACAAACAATGTCTTCGACGCCTTTAGAGCAGAATTTGGTTTTGTTCTTAGTCCCATGATTAGACAGTGATGACTATCAGACACCAAATAGCTATGAGTAGGTAGCTTGACTAGTATTCGGCCAGCAGCACAAATGATGACGCTACTTTTGTATGGTAATGCCAAAACCTTCAAAATAAATGCCCGCATTTCAAAACATTGCAACGTGAATAACTCATTCAAACTATATTCAATTTTAATCTATGTGCCTATAAGCATATGCAAGAACGAATTTATGAAAATAATTAGAAATATGTATATATATATTTTTTTTAAATACAATGTTCAGTTTTGGGCAGTAGAGAGAACTATTGAGAAAAAACTATTCTAGGTGCGGAAGTAAAAGTGGGGTTGGGAATACTCAGTAGGGTCTGTAGAATCTATTTATGGGATTATTTCATGGGGGACTGAGGTCTAAATACCAAGCAGCAGGATATTATCCTGGCAGAACAATCTAGTATTTTTATTCTTCACAGTAAGAGTCCCCCTGCAAAGATGCAAAGTTTTGGGAATATCGATTTTTCTAGCACGATAGTGCAGTACAACCGTTTTTCACACTATTGCAACCACCTAATTTGATTTATATAATAACCAGCAGCACTTTCTACCTCACCCATTCCATTGGACCCAATGCAATACACAGTAGGCCTATTGAATTATTGGAGTAGAAACTGCTGCTGGATATTAAGACAGTCTAATTCTACAGACCCTACTGAGTAATCCCCAACCCCACTTTTAACCTTCGCACAGAATCGTTTTTTCTCTATTAGCCAATATGTAATTTATAGGCCTACTGTGTATTGCATTGGGACCAATGGAATGGGTCGAGTAGAAAGTGCTGCTGGATATTATATACGTCACATTAGGTGGTTGCAATGCTGTGAAAACCGCTGTACTGCACTAGAGTGCTAAAACAAATCGATATTACCAAAATGTAGCGTGTTTTTGCAAGGGGACTCTTATTTTGAAGAATATAAATCATCGATCTTGCCGCCGCATAATATCTTGCTGCTAAGAGAACAGTAACCTCGTCCCCAGGCTTAGTATCTCTGGCTTCTCGGCTATTGCGCATTTTGGCGGAAGTGTAATGCCACAGGGCTCGTTCGAGATTGGCGCCGACAGTGCAAACCACAGCCGACTGACTGATCTACAAATCACCTTGCATCATAAATAACTATTCAGCATTATTTGTAGATCAGTCAATCAGTCAACATTTATCCACAATGCATCATGGATTTGATGCTCTCGAACCGTTCTTGTTATATATGAGCGTCTCGAACATGGCCACAGAGGTTTCACTTCCCTTTTCTCAGTAATTTGGGCAAAAATCGAGAAGTCTGTCCTCCGTGACCAAGCAACATCCTGCGACCTTAGAGGTATATATCAGATGCTCAACATGCTCTGCTCACACCTACTGTGATGGTCCGGACCTAAACCACACAAAAACAACACTAGACACTATGGAACACAAAGCTTATACTATCTCATCCTGGAATATTCAAGGTCTGAGGTTGTCTGCCTTTGGCCCAAAGAGCAGGAACCCAGACTTCATCAAATAAATTGGAAATACAGACATTGTCATCCTACAAGAAACATGGTATGAAGGAGACGGAAAAACAGAAAGGAAAACGCTGCACACTGCTGCTCATGCTCCCAGGTGATATTTATTTATAACAACGTTTCGACCCAGGAAGACCTAACGGTCGAAACGTTGTTATTAATAAATATCACCTGGGAGCATGAGCTGCAGTGTGCAGTGTTTTCCTTTCTGTTTGTCATGACTTTGCCTACAACTCCAGCACCTGCGGAAAGTACCTGGATGTAAGTATGTTCTTCAGCTTTTGTACATAAAGGAGACAGACCCACTGGTTGCCCTCTAGGTTACAGAGAACTGGTAGTCCCATCCACCAAACTACCAGGTGTGAAACAGGGAAGAGACTCAGGGGGTATGCTAATTTGGTATAGAGCAGACCTAACCCAGTCCTCTGTAGCTCAATTGGTAGAGCATGGCGCTTGTAACGCCAGGGTAGTGGGTTCGATCCCCGGGGCCACCCATACGTAAAAATGTATGCGCACATGATTGTTGGCATATTATATTATTGTGGTCCTCTGTAGCTCAACTGGTAGAGCACGGCGCTTGTAACGCCAAGGTAGTGGGTTCGATCCCCGGGACCACCCTTACACAAAATTGTATGCACGCATGACTGTAAGTCGCTTTGGATAAAAGCATCTGCTAAATGGCATATTATTATTATTTATTATTATTATTAGTCAAAACAGGAACATTTTACATCTGACTAGAAATGTAATGAGGAAATTACCTCAACAGAGAAAAATGTCCTCATGTGTGCTACCTATATCCCCCCAATATAATCCCCATACTTTAACGATGACAGCTTCTCCATCCTAGAGGGGGAGATCAACAATTTCCAGGCCCAGGGACATGTACTAATCTGTGGCAACTTAAATGCCAGAACTGGATAAGAACCTGACACCCTCAGCACACAGGGGGACAAACACCTACCTGGAGGTGACAGCATTCCCTCCCTCATATGCCCCCCTAGACACAACTACGACGTGGTCCTCTGTAGCTCAGCTGGTAGAGCACGGCGCTTGTAACGCCAAGGTAGTGGGTTCGATCCCCGGGACCACCCATACACAAAAATGTATGCACGCATGACTGTAAGTCGCTTTGGATAAAAGCGTCTGCTAAATGGCATATTATATTATTATATTACGACAACATAACCAACAAAAACGGGTCACAACTCCTGCAGCTTTGTCGGACGCTGGGTATGTACATAGTCAATGGTAGGCTTCAAGGGGACTCCTACGGTAGGTACACATATGCAGTACCAGTCAAAAGTTTGGACACACCTTACTCATTCAAGATTTTTCTTTATTTTTACTATTTTCTACATTGTACAATAATAGTGAAGGCATCAAAACTATGAAATAACACATATAATCAACGAGAAACGACAGTCCATCATTACTTTAAGACATGAAGGTCAGTCAATATGGAACATTTCAAGAACTTTGAATGTTTCTTCAAGTGCAGTCGCAAAAACCGTCAAGCACTATGATGAAACTGGCTCTCATGAGGACCGCCACAGGAATGGAAGACCCAGAGTTACCTCTGCTGCAGAGGATAAGTTCATTAGAGTTACCAGCCTCAGAAATTGCAGCCCAAATAAATGCTTCACAGAGTTCAAGTAACAGACACATCTCAACATCAACTGTTCAGAGGATACTGTGTGAATCAGGCCTTCATGGGCGAATTGCTGCAAAGAAACCACTACTAAAGGACACCAATAAGAAGAAGAGACTTGCTTGGGCCAAGAAACAAGAGAAATGGACAATAGACAGGTGGAAATTTGTCCTTTGGTCTGGAGTCCAAATTGGAGATTTTTGGTTCCAACCGCCGTGTCTTTGTGAGACGCAGTGTGGGTGAACGGATGATCTCTGCATATGTATTTCCCACCGTAAAGCATGGAGGAGGAGGTGTTATGGTGTGGGGGTGGTTTGCTGGTGACACTGTCAGTGATTTATTTAGAATTCAAGGCTCACTTAACCAGCATGGCTACCACAGTATTCTGCAGCGATACGCCATCCCATCTGGTTTGGGATTAGTGGGACTATAATTTGTTTTTCAACAAGACAATGACCAACACACCTCCAGGCTGTGTAAGGTCTATTTTACCAAAAAGGAGAGTGATGTGTTAACAAGAGAATCACTGACATGATGGCAGCCGGTCTTTTTGTGGCAGGGCTGAAATGCAGTGGAAATGTTTTTTTGGAATTAAGTTCATTTTCATGGCAAATTAATTGCAATTCATCTGATCACTCTTCATATTTTTTTATTTTTTTAACCTTTATTTAAGCAGGTAAGCCAGTTGAGAACAAGTTCTCATTTACAACTGCGACCTGGCCAAGATAAAGCAAAGCAGTGCGATAAAAAAACAAACACAGAGTTACATATGGAATAAACAAAACATACAGAACATAACACAATAGAACATCTATATACAGTGTGTGCAAATGTAGTAAGTTATGGAGGTAAGTAAATAGGCCATAGTGCAAAATAATTACAATTTAGTATTAACACTGGAGTGATAGATGTGCAGAAGATGATGTGCAAATAGAGATACTGGGGTGCAAATGAGCAAAATAAATAACAATGTAAATAACAATATGGGGATGAGGGAGTTGGGTGGGCTAATTACAGATGGGCTGTGTACAGGTGCAGTGATCGGTAAGCTGCTCTGACAACTGATGCTTAAAGATAGTGAGGGAGATACAGTGGGGGGAAAAAGTATTTAGTCAGCCACCAATTGTGCAAGTTCTCCCACTTAAAAAGATGAGAGAGGCCTGCAATTTTCATCATAGGTACACGTCAACTATGACAGACAAATTGAGATTTTTTTTCTCCAGAAAATCACATTGTAGGATTTTTAATGAATTTATTTGCAAATTATGGTGGAAAATAAGTATTTGGTCACCTACAAACAAGCAAGATTTCTGGCTCACACAGACCTGTAACTTCTTCTTTAAGAGGCTCCTCTGTCCTCCACTCGTTACCTGTATTAATGGCACCTGTTTGAACTTGTTATCAGTATAAAAGACACCTGTCCACAACCTCAAACAGTCACACTCCAAACTCCACTATGGCCAAGACCAAAGAGCTGTCAAAGGACACCAGAAACAACATTGTAGACCTGCACCAGGCTGGGAAGACTGAATCTGCAATAGGTAAGCAGCTTGGTTTGAAGAAATCAACTGTGGGAGCAATTATTAGGAAATGGAAGACATACAAGACCACTGATAATCTCCCTCGATCTGGGGCTCCACGCAAGATCTCACCCCGTGGGGTCAAAATGATCACAAGAACGGTGAGCAAAAATCCCAGAACCACACGGGGGGACCTAGTGAATGACCTGCAGAGAGCTGGGACCAAAGTAACAAAGCCTACCATCAGTAACACACTACGCCGCCAGGGACTCAAATCCTGCAGTGCC